TACGGACCTGTGGAACGCGCAGGCTGTGGATGCTTGCGTGGTATAGTGTGATGGCGGCTGTTCATTCACTGGTTCCAATCATTTCAAAATCGGAACGCTTATTGATGTTTCCTCAAAGATATCTTTGGCTTTATATCATCATCCTCAAATCATTTCTGGTCTACCTTTCCGATATCTTCACAGCTACGACCATGTTGACAACTTCAACATGGTCCAACCAGATCTTTAACAACTGCCAGCATCTAGATGGTTGTTTTTATATCCCATTTAATGTTGGGAAATGGCTGTTCGTAGGATGTATTATTTTTGGCTTTCTCCTGGTATGATGCTATCGTAGGCAAGAGAACGTAAATCTGATCATCCGCAGCTGGCGTATGAAGCCCGGAAATCAAAGAAAATTATCGCCAGTCGTGATATCTCTTACGCATTCACGAACGTGATGGCTAACAACTATTACTCCCTCCGTATGTGATCCCTTTGTTTATGGTATCATCTAAAGCTCATCAACTGCGCAAGGCTCGTATGACCACTTCTGCTTCTTTGATCATATCAGTAATTCAACGAAGAAGAAAGATGACTTTGCGTTCTTCATCTTCTTTACGTTCAAGAGTAAGTCTCTGCTTCTTTCTTGAACCAATATATCTGAACCGATATTAGGTTGGAAGCGCCTGTTACTGTCTGATGGACCAAGACAAACGATCAACGCTTTGACACTCTATAGTATCTACCTGTCGAAGAGCGACAAGGGATCTTGGTATGACATCAGCAAGTACTTTGCAGGAAACAGTCTGTCAACTTCCGCCCTGACTGTTTCCACGTTCTTCACCTTCGTCATCTTCGCTGGCTCGCTCTTACTGTTGATTATGGCTGGCATATTCTATATTCCTTTGTTGTGTTACATTCAAGGGAACCTCAAGGTCAGTTATATTTCCCTCTGCCAAGCACATCCACTCATGGGTTATATAGGAGTACGTATGTCACAAGGTCGACAAGGTACCATCCATCACTTCGAGTTTTGGTTACGTATGGCTCATTGAATGATAGCGAATTGCAGAGGTCATCAAGCGTAGAAACAAGGAGCGACTTGCCAGGGCTGCTGCGCTAGCGAAGAAGGAGGCTATGGGTGACTTCTCCCACTTGAAAAACAAGAAGGGCGAGATGGTTGGGAAGCCTTTACCACAGCCGACACTTCCAAACCTCTCGGTTGACGACGACGACGACGCCGGATCTATCTCCAAGCGTGGGCCAGGTGGTGCCTACAACCAGGATTACTACTTTGACCAAAAAAGCATAGCACCAAGTTATCACACCAATCCCGCGAGTGCTGACTATGCGGACTATCCTCCAATGCCGGCTTACAACGCTGGGTATTCACACCAGACTGGGGGGACGTTCAACCAATATCCTTCGTCTACGGGGAGCTACGAGGCACAGCACCGAGGCTACGAAGAAGACTACGGCAGCACGGTTCATCTTCAGGAAGGAGTTACACTTGCTTATCAAACTGATGACCAAGGGCCGTACGATTCATATGGGAGCTCGGGTGTGGGAGGGCGATATGTTGGAGACGCACATGATGTGTACCAAGGGAGAGCAAATGCAGGAGCACGTTTGCCATATAATGGTGCGAGCGGGCAGGCTTACGATGTGCAGGACTATCCTAGCCAGCAGTATACGCACGCACATAATTATGACTACACGGCAACGAACGGGGATGGATACCATTATCAAGGGTACGGTGGTGCACAAGGGTCACATGAGTATGGACATGCTTTGTAGTATAGTTACATAGTGCAACTTGGTCTTGTCTTGAAATAATTACCTATCAGGCTTCGTGCGGTTTCGGGCCGATTTCCCCATTTAGTCATGTTGAATATTAATACGGAGGCCGATGTTCCAGTTTGTCTGAATCGCTGACGCATTACTAATGTCATGCCAGTACACGATGCGCGATTTAGGGGGTGACTATAAGTAAGTAAACTCTGCTGGTCATAGATGCTATGCTCAGGACTCTTCTCAAGTTTCAGCAGCTTCTTGGACAGGAGACTGGCTGTGTAGCCGCATGCTCTTTGTATCCTGGTGCTATACTCTCCATAGCTACCAATATGAGAGAGCCGATCAGGCATCCTCAGGCAGGCCCATGACTCAAATTCGGCTCGGACCAGATGTCAGCAATTGCAACGTAAACGTGCAGCGGTAAAGCGCAATAGTAATACTTGCACAGTCAGGTTATCATCTGCTATTTAAGAGTCTGTCTAGGACATGTGGAATCATCCCTCCCTGCCACTCGGTGTCCATGTCGGGTTCTCTAACCACCGTTTCTTTCGCTCACCGAGATCATTCGAATGATACTCATGCCATGAAAACCGAACAAGTCAAGTCTACCGACGTCGAGGATACTCACGACAAAGACTACGATTGGGAACACCACCCTGCGAACCCCAGGAATTGGTCTCCCGCAAAAAAATGGACAACGACTACCCTGGTCAGTTTTTCCATCCACGAGTTCATCTTACGATGTCTTATGTCAATATTAGGTCGCACTGTACACGTTTGTTACGCCGTTAGCAAGTTCTATTATGGCACCCGGTTTACTCGATATCGCCATCAAATTTGATATAACCGATCCAACAGTCATAGCGTTGACTCTAAGTATCTTCCTTCTGTCATTTGCTATCGGCCCTTTATTTGCGGCACCCTTGTCTGAAGTGTATGGCCGTGTATGGGTGCGTCATGTGCATCCGTCAATCAGACCACCATTTACCTGAATGGGTTCAAGGTGCTCCACCTAGGAAACCTCTTCTTTTTCTTCTTTAATCTTGGCTGTGCCTTGTCAACCAACACTGCATCCTTCATTGTTTTCCGCTTTCTAGGTATGTCTCAGAACATCTCAAGCTCCATCTTTTCCTCATTCTTTGCCAAGCTGGATTAGCAGGCAGTCCACCCATAGCATGCGGCGGAGGCGTCGTGAGCGACCTCTTTTCCGAACGTGATCGAGCATCAGCTGTTGCACTGTACAGCATCGGACCCTTGATAGGTGGGTCATATACAGTTTTATATCGTATGACGTTTACGCATCCTGCAAGGCCCTGCCGTCGGCCCCGTTATGGGAGGTTTCATCGCAGAATCAATTGGTGTACAATATGTCTTCTATGTCGTTATCGCCATGTCCGGCATTGCCGCGATGATCGGCATTCCCCTCTTGAGAGAAACCTATGCACCACTTATCAGGCTTCGTCTGGATAACATGGCTCTGGATCCCGAAAAGACAACCGCCGTGGGACATCCTACCCTCCAAGGCGAGATGAGCAAATGGGCCTACTTATGGCTCAACCTCAAGCGACCGGTCATACTGCTGACCCGGAGTTTTATATGTTTTATCCTGAGCTTGTATATGGCTCTGTAAGTTTAAATCTAATGTCATGCACACCCGGCTCACTGATGTCATCTATCCAGGTTATACGGTCAGTACCGCATTAAGTTATATTGGATATGAACTGAGATCATTTGTCAGGTATCTACTACTTGATGTTTTCTACTTTCCCCGGTAAGATCATACCTGCCTATAGGGATCGTCATTAACAATTTTTGCTCAGACCTCTTTTCGAAGGTGTACCACTTCAGCACTGGAATGGGAGGTCTGACGTACCTCGGAACAGGCGTTGGATTTCTAGCCGCCACTTTGTTTGGCGCCAGGGTTTCAGGAAAGATATACATATATGTATGTCAACTTGCCTTCTACCTTGAACGTGCCAACTCACGCGCTGGTTATTATGCCTAGCTCGCTGCCAAAAATGGAGGGCAGGGTAAACCCGAGATGCGCATACCTGCTCTGATATTCGGCTCGTTGTTTGTCCCAGTGGGACTATTGTGAGATAGACACATTTATTCCTGCTCTTATAGGGTCTGACATGTGTTAGTTGGTATGGATGGTCTGCCCAAGCCGAGGCCCAATTCATGATGCCCATCATTGGTACCGCTATCTTTGGATTCGGGTTGATGACAAGTTTGTGGGTGTGCTCCGGTGCATTAGTCTCTTCTACGTCTAATCTCTTGACATGAAGCCTCCCTATTCAACTTTATCTCGTGGATACGTTCACCTATGCTGCAAGCGCTACTGCAGCCGCATCTGTTAGTCTTTCTTACATTGCCTCTGATTTCGTTGGCGTCCACTGAATACATCATCAGACGTTCCGTTCACTTCTTGGTTTCGCATTCCCTTTGTTTGGAGAACAGATGTTTGCGGCACTCGGCTATGGTGGAGGCAATTCCCTGCTTGCAGGCATTGCCATAGTCATTGGCATACCCTTTCCAGTGTGGATATACTTCGCCGGCGAACGTATGCGCACGAATAGTTCTTTGGCCCGCTGATTTTTCCCTTCTTCTCACCATTGTGAAAGTATGATAACCCTCAACCCCTTCAGAAGTACCAAGTCACGATAGCCCCAATACGATTACATCCGCTTACTACTACATCATGGAGCGATTCATGGTTGTTAATAACAGTAGAATCACCGTCCACCTCCGAATCATCTATGGACACTTGTCATGCAGAAATAGTGTATTTTTTCCTTCGTAGAACTACCTATTTGTGTTAATAAAGAAAACAAGTGCTTACCGCTGCGCGGCTCGCCTTGTAAAAGGAAATTCTGTGAGTTTGCGTCTAGTACTATAGCGGATTTTTTTGTGCATCAATATTCAATATGTTGTCGTCTATCCTTTGCTGAGAAAACAGGATTCAAGTCTGCGCGCACGGTATGCTGTGGGGTTGACTGCATGGGTCGATCGACCCGGACCAGTCTACCCACACCCAACCCGCGGATGCCAAAATTTTCTGAGGCCTACCCGTACCCATCCAGCTCAGAGCATTGCGGGTACGGGTTACTCACGAGTGAGTGGACATATTTCTCGCGTGTACATGTGAACAAAAGTATGTACGAAGCTTAGTTGCGCGGAGATGCGTCACTGAGCGCAGTCTCGCCGGGGATGAAGCTCATCTACCTGTATATTATCATCTTTAGTAGTTTACTGAATGGAAAGTAATGGGTAGACAGTGATAGCTCCTCGGGTATGAATTACCGTATGATGAGTACGAGACCAAAGTCGAAAGCACGATGACTGGAGCTCCGACACAACTGCTAAAGTACTGCAAAGGAGATACATAGAAGACGCCGATGGTAATGCTGAAAGAAATTGAGGAAACGAGGTGACGACGATAATCCATCTAGGAGGCCAAAGACACTTTCTCTGCTGCCTGTGACCACATATCTAACTGAGCCAGCATCTGAGATACTGTTTGGATAATCTGCGATCGCACACGGAGATCATCTGGGATGCCTTCCCAAAGCACACTAATTGACACTTCAACCTACAAGAGAGGATGAAGGCCGCTAGCACCGAGATGAAATCGAAGGGACTGACCTTCTCAGCAAGTTCCCGGAGTGACTCGTTGAGAGCCTCCCCGACGGCCTCAGCTGCAGCCGACAAGCGACCCAGGAGCACCTCTGCTCCACCATCAAAAACGACATGCCTACGCGTGTCAACGTAGTCATGGAACACGGTCTGCAACATGTCAGAAGAGGTCCTAAAATGATACGACTAACATATATACCTTCTGTCGCGCGACACTTCCTTTGCCTCGCTGTCCGGTGGCTCGATCGTAGCCGTCTACCAGTTCGGTTTGGACATGAGGAGCGAGACAACGAGATATCTCCTTCTGCTCCCGTACAAGCGCTCCTTCTACGACCTTGATTATTTTCCCTAATGCGAGGTGTACCTCTTCTTGGGAATCGGAACTTCGTGCGCATGCGCGTTCTTTCAATTCAGCCGCTGCGCTCACCTCTACATCTGCGAGCAGCTTCTTGACGCATTCCGTGACGGCGGATGATAATGGGGTGAACAGATCAGACTCGAAGAGCGTTGACCAAGAAGAAGCAATATTCCGGGTGAATGGCGTGAGAAGCTCAACATTGAGGTCACGATACCAAGACCCGTGGCGACGAAGTGCTGATATTGGGCAAAATCAGTGAGGGTGAGGGTGCGGACTGGAACACTCACTGGCTCGATAGGTATTCCAATGCATGGACTCTGCAAATTTGTCGACGCATTGAACTGCACCTTGCGCAGCCTGTGGAATGTCATCAGATGATAAGCTGATACAATGCAATAGTATTCACTTTGACTGCGCCCGCTCGGCATTTGTCTTCAAGGCCATCATGGAACAGACCTTGCAAATCTGAGACACATCTTTCGACACATGCACCAAAATCCTACAATGAAATGTGAGCTGTACAGAAAGCAAAAGTCAATGCAAACGACCTTACTTTCACTAGCCGAGGTGTGATTCCTGTAGGTTCACCATAAGGATCCAATTTTATGCGCGAGCTATGGTTCATCGTGGGCTTGAATCGCTTCAGGCCTGGAATGTCAAAGTGATCAGCCTTCATCCTCACATCATACAGTGCCAGACCCTGACCACCCTCTACTGATTCCCATTTTTCACGAAGGGCTTTGCTGTCTGCAACAGTCGCATCACTAATACCATCAGTATACGCCCGCACCGAGTTTGCAAACATTTTTAATTGCAGATGGTATTGTTTCGCAGCACGGTGTTGATTACCAATGGCTAACCGGTGGCACCATTGCTGTAGCGCGGGGACCCCGGTGTCGGCAATGTTAGAGAAACATGATGGGTCTCCGTCACGTTCTATTCGTCCTGTTATCCGGACATAATCACGGGACGAGCAAGTGAACACTTCAAGGTCAACCTCGTCATAATCTAAGTAAAAATTTTAGTATCGTAATTTTTTTGAATTAGTATGAAACTTACTGCGCTGATTTTGAGTTGGATCAAAAGCCTCTGGGTCTCGCTCCTCGGCAGTGGCATCTGCATCATGTGAACCAACTTAGCTGATTCTGCAAAGACGGCAAGTCATTACCAACCATCAAAAAGTTTAAGCCCGACACGGAAATCTTCCTTTAAAGCATTGCGGGAAAACTTCAGAATGTTGGCGTCAGGAAGAAATAGATTGAAGAACGACAAGAGTCACGAGACAAACCTCCGAACGCTTTAAAGAACAAAATGTACTCTGGTCACGCCGCGCTTCCATCTCTTTCCTCGTGAGGTCATCAAGGGCATCCTTGATGTTCATCTGTGCCTTCCGTGCGTCGTCGAGTTCTTCCAATGCAGCTTTGATAGATTTCTGGGCATCGTCGATCTTCGCATCGAGAACCTTGACTGTAACCTCTTCTTCTGGCTCATCTTCGATGCCGTCGTTATGCTGTGTGTCCTCCTTTTCCTGCTCTTCTTCAACTGATTTCTGCCCTCCACACGCGTCATCGACATCCATGTCGCTATCACTAGTATCATCTTCTGAGTCTTGTCCAAAGGTGCTGCTCTTTAGACGCTTAGCCGGCCCAGATTCCTTGCTGCGAGTATTCTTTCGCTTCTTTCCCATGCTCTGGGTCGTCTGGTGTTCTGTTGCAGTCAACTGTGGCATAAGCATTGTACCGTTTGCGAGTGCTGTCTTGTCTTCCTGGCATTGTTGTATAATGGCTTGAAGTAGTTTGAGCCGCGCGTCGATAACTATGAAATGCAAATAAGCACATTATCTGAGTTACAGGAACAAAACATTCGTACCTTCGGTCCTCAAATCGGCATCAGCTTTTTTTAGTTTGAGCTCAGCTGTTTCCTCCATGCATGAAATGATGCAATCGTTGATTTTCTCTAGCGCAGGGTCGTCCTCGAGATCCAACGCAGTGATAACCTCAGAACAAGTTATATCGTCACACTTGGTAGCTGAGGTATATCATTTTAGCAAGAATTCGATCAGATGTGCTCTAACAAACCGATGAAAGTGATGGTATGGGCATCATAGCTAACCAACAAATAAGAAATTCATCGCACGAGTGAAGAATAGATCACTCACTTGCCGTCTAAACAATGAATGCCGATAACCTACATTGAGCTACTACATTAGAGCAACCGTACTAGGAAGAACTTACCCACTGAGGACAACTGTTAGCCTATTCCCAAGGGGGTGAAGAAGACATACTCATCAGCTGTGTTCTGAAAGCTTCACCAAGAAGATCTATTTTCGAAAACATTGGAATTGTGGCACAGGTGTGGAGTTGAAACAGATACCTCGAGCAGTCTTGTCATCCACTGCACGGGTGATAGGCGCAAGAATCCAGATACAGTTGCACTTCTTCATGTAGTCCTTCGCGATGCGATTCCTTGCAGGATTAACATCGGCGACACCAGGTAAATCAACTAAGATAGCACCGGCAGAAAGAGCCCAGGCATTGCATTGTATATTCACTTGACGAATCAGAGGCCATAGAGCTGTGTCGTGGTCTTCCTTTTCCTGGGCGCTGATGACTAAGTTATCAGAAGCACTGGTCTTTTTACCCTTCCGAGTCTTGTTCTTTTTACCCCGTCGTTTCTGGCCTGTGGAAGAATCAACATATCTCGCAATTTGTTGGGCAAAGCTACTCGAATTGTCCGCTGATATCTTCCTTGTAGTGCCCAAGATGTGGACAATATCTGCACAGAGGATCCAAGTCAGCATAATCTGTAGTGACGAGCTTAGGGATGTGCACTTGTATTGTAGGCCAACATCTGATCAACTGTTATATCAACGAGTTGAGGTAGAGTTATTGATGGGTATACAGCATGAACCTGAGTATGAATGATATACTAAGACACCAAAAAACCTCATAACCCTCACCTTATGCCACGCAACCTCTATGTCACCATGTAGGTCAGTAGTACGTTTTAGATTGCCACCTTCAGCCTTAATGTCATCAAGTAGAACAATAAGTTCCTCTCTCCATTCAGCCTCGGAAAGGAACAACACATCTGCATTGATCGTGGATGCAGTGTGATATGAAATTTCTGTGACCACAGAGGTACAGGCTGCAAATTGGCTCAGTGATCAAAATATTATGTAGCAAAAGAAATCAACTTCACCTCTCATGCCGCTTGTGGGAACAACGTCGACTACAGAAAAATATCAAAATAGATATGAGAGGGGCATACACCACTCCAAGTCAAAGTGACCACTTGCCATCTAACAGTGCATTTATGGTTGATGATTTTCCAGCTCCAGTTGCTACAGGATACAGGCTTCAGTCAAAACACATGTTGGAAGCAATGAACACGCACCACCACAGACAGCTATCATCATAGTCGGACTAACTTGGTTGAGGAGACTGTGATCGTTTTCATTTCTGACCCCACACGAGGTATGGGATAACATACCTGTCTATTTCACGGAGCCAAACATCCTTACAGAGCTTGCTACTGCCAAGTTCAAGTTTTTCGATACTAACCTTTAGTGTCTTCACCATGCCAAGTCCTTCATGAAGTGCGTTCTCAGGGGTGTATGTAATTTCGTCAGCAAAGTCATGAAGTTGATATAATGTCGGCTCGATCAAAGACTCCACTTTGGTAACAGGAGCTGCCAGTGAGCCTGAGAGTGGTGTATCGTCGTGTGCCGAGTCAGAGAATGAAACTTCAGATAGTTCTTCAGTAGGTTCTATTTTGGCGCGTGAATGAACAGATTTGTATGTCCAACAGCTAATAATAGACGTGCGTGCGCGTGAAGCTTTGAGCGGAGTTCGGTCTCGCGTGACACTTCGCGTTCGTGACAAAAGCTAATCCACTTCATTGAAGTACTTGAATAACTTACAAAGGTCCAGCTGTGCTTCATATTGGTTTGAAATTGTTGCGGTGGTCAATCACATTTCAAGCTTTCAAGTGCAACATCTGTTTCAACTTACAGTAAACCATTCCCTATATCCAGGTTGTCTAGAGCATGATGCCAAGTACTACACGAACTTGCAAGAACGTGCAAGATTGAGCGTAGTGAGTCTCGTCATATGGTTTGGCTGTCGTATACGAGCGGGAAAATAGGATCACAAGAAAACGGGGGTCGTTGGAGTATGACGTTCGTGGGTACTAGCCGTCTATATCCGTGTACACGTTCGATGATTTGACTAGGACCTCCACGATGTGCCGTGGTTGATGGCCCATATTCAAATTCTAGTCCTCCATATCCTGCCAACCTATGATCTTGATAGGAGATACTGTCATTCGCATGCAAAAGAAAAGCAGAAGCGACATGCCTTACTAATTTCTACATAAAAAAAGATGAGTTTCCTTGTTCATTTGCAGTAGAATTTTGGTCGAATTCGAATCTCGATGTCACGCAACTTCCGCGACCTACAGTCTTCTTTTTGAATCTACGAACAACTCTTAACGTTTCTCGGTACCAATGACATCCCTTCAGTGAGAATTTTGACCATGCTACACCGTCTTGTGCTCCTAAAATATGCCTTATCGTGATTTAACGCGCAACTCTATTCGTGGCCTTATCACATTGGTGCTTATCATGCTGCGGCGCCTCAGGCTTGTGGATATCTAGCATGAATGACATAGACAACCGTGACCCCTCATTCACGGTTCTCCTTCCAACTCTCCGGACCTGAGAAGACAGCCCGAGGCCATATCTTCTGTGCAACGAATCGGGTTATGGATTCAGAAAAAGAGACATCTCGTGAAGAAATTGCGGATTCTCCGCTCTTCAAAGGAGATGAAGCGCTTCGACTGGTGGGAACTCAAGCACAGAAATTCAATGAAGAATATAATCGAAGACTCAGGAACAAACTCGTACATCCATACAGTGGTTACAATGTACTGACCTTGCTGATAGATTCATAGGACAAGGTTATTATTCCAATAACTGCTGCGGTTTACTTCACCCAGTTTTTGTGAGAAAGCCTTCATTTTTGCTTATCTGGTTTTGACATTCTGAAAGGGATAAAACATCGCTCAATTATGCGAGGTCAGTAACTGAAGGTTGTCTCGAGGATGCTCAACATTATGTTTAGTATCATGGGGTTTCCGGTAACTGGACAGAATTACAATTTGGTTTCAATGGCGTTCTATCTTGGTAAATATGAGTCCTTTCAAATGTTCTTGCGTTAACTAGATTATGTCCACAGGTTTTATAGTTTGGGAATTCCCCACAGTATATATCGCCCAGAAGCTCAGGCTTGGGAAATACCTTGGTGAGTTGATACTTATCCTAGATGTGGATAAAAACCAGAACAATATCAGGCGTAAATATCATCATATGGGGCATCGTGCTATTGTGCCATGCGTTTGCGAATTCCTTTCATGCCTTCTTCGCGCTTCGTTTTATTCTCGGTGCGTAGATATTCGTCTAGCCGAGTTTCGCTAAAATCAGGCAGGGATGTGCGAGAGCTGTGTGTCTCCTATCCTTATATCGATAATATCCATGTTTTATAGAAAAAATGAACAAGTAAGTGGTCAATGATTTCGCCTGTGGTGAAACTGTATATAGGATTTATGCAGGGAATTCGCATTGCATATTTTTACGCAATGGTCAGTGACTTTCTTTTCCATTTTTTTCTTGCTGAAGGCGACACAATAGCTTGGTTTTACTCAGGTCTTCGGAGGCTTCGTAGCTTATGTATGTAATACGACATCACACTAAGAGGGCTGGGCTTACTGATCGGCAGGGAATCTCATTTTACAACGGAGGTGCCATGGCACCATACAAGATTGTATACTACCTCCTTGGTGGCCTTGCAATCCTCGTTGGTATACTCGTATTGGTGTGCTTACCAGATTCGCCTGTCAATGCCTGGATCCTTACGGAGGAGGAGCGCATTGCGTCCCTAGAACGGGTCAGGGATGACCAGGGTGGTACGGAGAATAGGAAGTTCAAGAAAGAACAAGTCATCGAGACACTTCTGGATGTCCGAACTTGGTTGATCGTGCTTGCAACCATGCTTAGTGGGTATCCATCGCGACATTACCCGTGCACGCCTCACTCTTGTTTCAGCCGATATCCCTAGCGGCGGTCTCACTAACTGTAAGTCATCTTTGCTTTGATGACATGGCTTCACGAGCTTGCTCATGGCCAGCCTAGTCAGCAACATTATCATAAAGAATTTCGGATATACGTGGGGCCACATCAAAGGGTAATCTGTCGCAGTAACTAATGATTTCTCCCCATCCTCTCGACAGATCAAGGCAGACTTTGATTCTTGCCACTCCCTCTGGAATTGTGGAGGTTATCTCAGTGGTGGTCTGCGGTTATTATTCTGATAAAAAGGTGATGCCCTGCATGACTGACATTGGGGCCGCACTCATCGACGAATATAGGGAGAACGCATGTTACCAGTGATTTATGCAACTCTCCCGACCCTTCTTGGCGTCGGTAAAATTATCCTTCGTTTGTAGCAACCCAAAGAAGGCTGATCGTTTTCCAGCGCTGATGATTGGCTTCAACGATAGTGGACAGAAGGGGGTTTTACTATTTGGTGAGCATTGATCGACGCAGTCATCATGCACGTCAAAAGATGACATGATTTGCAGGTTCATATCTCATAGGCTCGTTTGGAAGCACATTATCTACGATCTATGCATACAATGCCAGTAACACCAGTGGATACACGAAGAAGGTATGCCAGGTATACCTTTGTCACTGGGCACTGCCTGACATGGTTCGACAGCTCACCATCAACGCGCTCACCATGGTCTTTTTCTGCGTTGGAAACATCATTGGCACTGAAATTTTCCAACCTAAAGATGCACCGGCATATATCCCAGGTAAGGCTGCCATCATGGTTTTGCTTTCAACGCAGATCGGAGTAGCATATCTTTTGCGCCACATTAATGTGAAGCTAAATATCAAACGACGAGCGATGATAGAAGAGATTAAGAGGGAGAAGGGTTGGACCGATGACAACGTTCAGAAGGAAAAGGAGCGTCGTGCATTCGCCGACATGACAGACAAACAGTGAGTAAGATCTAGTGGAAGTGGACTCAGGCTTAAAGTGCTGGCAGGAATGTATTTTTCCAGTATGTAAACTGATAGCAGGACCATCTAGCACATCACAAGTCACTGGAACGAAGCTTGTGAAAATATACTATGCATAAATACAATGTCTGTAGACATATGACAAGGGGGGATGCAACAACCATAAATTAACATCTGTCTACCGGAAAACTTTTTCCCATAGAATGATTGCAATTATCAGGACTAGGACAACAATGATAGCAGCGGTGACGACACGTTGTTGGTACATCCTGTATAGCACATATTAGGCGCATGGTTTAAAAACATCTACAGCAGTATTAAACTAACCGTCTAATCATCTTCTTCAAAGTGCCTGAGGCTCGGTCAATAGCAGTGTCAGCGGTGCGAAGCTAGTAAGGCACGGGTAAGTAATTATCAAGAATCAAGGGACAAGACACACGGTATCTCTGGAATTCTCGATTTGCTCTCGTTGCGTTCTGAGATTCATTAATATCTCAGCACCCTGGTCTTCTGTCTCAAGGGCAATGCGTTGTGATTCTTGTAGCCGTCTTGTACCATCTTCGAGAGTGGAGGTCCCCGCAAGCAGGCGGGTACGATCACTAGTGGGCCCATAAGGCTCGTCTGATGTGGGTGTGCCCACTCTGCCAGATGAAAGAAGTTCCGCTCTGGATACTTGAGAATGAATATCCTTGGAAAGCTTCTTGAACCGCACTAAGTCTCCCTTGGCAGTTTTGAGGCGGTTTTGGTACTGTGGCTTTATGGACTGGGGTATCCCCTGGATTTCTATCTCCATCTGCGATATCTACGATTGACCATTTAGATCTGACTTCAGTGCCAGTCTGAGCGTAAACCAACCATTTCGTCGGCCTCATCCAGCTCCATTTCCACTCTCCTGAGTGCTGCTCTACGCTGTTCTGTGCAAATAATCCTTAGAAAGCGACGAGCTAAGACTAGGAACTGCTACGTACCACCACGCTCATCCTTGCCTTCTCCGTCAAGTTTTGAGCGAATGCTGTCAATGATTTGTCTGAAATCCTGTTCATATGAGTCAAATAGCGCAGTCGGGGAGTTGTCCATGGTTTCCACTACCCCACAAGGGTCAATAGAAGCACGACTCTGGAAGGAGCTGAGGGAACGTCAATGGCGGACAGTGGGAGTGAACGTCAACTGCGCACGTCGCATGTCGATAGTCGTCTCAAAAAGGAAATCTTCTCTCTGAATCATTCCAACACGTCGAGGTCGCTGCAGCTCGTATTCTTGACACACTCCAGTCCTTTTACGCATAGCAATGGATAGGCTTTCATTATACTTGGATCCCCAGATTCGAGACTGGGTTCTCTTTCCAATTACTCTTGTAATGGTGAGTTTGGTTTAACCATCACTGCGGTGCAAGTGTTTACTATGTGTGCGGCTAGATATTGGTCGGAATACTGCGCCATTATGTGGTGATTCTTTTGCAGTCTCCACCGAAAAAGCTCTCGCGAGCTGCAACCCGTGAGCAGTAAGTGACCCTTATCTCGTTTCCCCGATATCTCTCTAACACAGTGACCTGCAATAGGCGTGCTCTGACGCGTTCCCAGATTCTCCGAGCCACGTCCTCAAATTCTCCGATACCACCAGCATTTTACAAATCTATCTCACAGCATCTTTCTGAGGCCTACAAAGCCGGAACGTACCTGAAGGACGGACCGCCCAAAGCTGACGCGCCATCATCTGCTCCCAATCCTCTGTCAGACCCTGCCGCCATGGACGGCATGATGGCCGGCATGAAAACCCAAATGGTTATGATGGTCCCACAGATGGTTATTATGGGCTGGATCAACTTCTTCTTCCAAGGCTTCGTCCTAAGTGCGTGATTTCCCCATAACGCTTCAATAGAGCACTCCGACCTGAAGATCTCTCAGTTAAACTACCTTTCCCCTTGACGCTGGGCTTCAAGTCCATGCTTCAGCGTGGTATAGATACTCCTGATATGGATGTTCGGTGGGTTTCATCACTGTCGTGGTATTTCCTCAACTTTTTCGGCTTGAACGGCCTTTATCGACTTATCCTTGGCGGTGACAATGGTATGCGCCTCCGTTTATTTCCTGTGTTTTCTATCTAGTTGTCTGATGCTGGCGTCCGGATCTTCTTTTTTAGGCGCTGATTCATCGCGTGACATGACTGCGTCGCCTTTTGCGGCCATGGGCAATGCGCAGCCCGGGCAGCCACAAGATTTCAACAAACTTTTCAAGGCAGAGCGGGATAATCTCGAGTTCGCTGAGGGTCTTCACAACTGGGTGGGTGAAAACATGGACATCAAGATTCTACGAAAGTATGGGAAGCTAGCTGCCTTATGATTCTAAGTAGTTGATTATCACGTTGGCTATGCAAGATTCTAGCCTTGAGATGCGAATAAAAATATGCGACACCGGAACCTGGTCTACCGCTACATCGATGAAGGTAGACAGATCCGGCCTATGATAGCGTAGAGTAAAGTATAGTGTGCGAAAGGCTTGGTCTTGATTTCCGTGAGCTGAACGACCCACAAGATGCATCTGGAAATACAACCGGACAGTATATTAGGAGGAAATTAGCTGTGTAAATGAATCAGTGGTGGTTGAGAAGTAAAAATAATCCGCTTGCATGAATGCCAGCATCGTGATCATACGAGACCATCGTATAGCGATAATGCCTATAAAAAGAATGAATAAACTTGGTTAGGGGACTGATCATGTGAAGACCCTGAGTGCTCACCTGGACGATAGTCGGGTCTTGTTTACTGCCTTCGACGAATTCATCGTACGTGAGCTGTGCGTCCTTGTCTCGGTCCATATTCCTGAAGATCTTATCTACTCGCTGTGCATTTGGGATAATGAGCGGAGACATTTCATGAAAGTGGAGTAGTTTGTCAAACGAACCTTTTCAGGAGTATCCTCATCGGCAGGAAGTTTGACCATTTGTCCAGTCATCTTGTATATGGACGTTACGATCTGTAACATCTCATCATAGGTGATGAAACCATCTTTGTCTATATCGTACAACTGAAAAGCCCCTGGAGGAAAGTGAGTAAGAATTAGATCAAATGTGAAACGTCATGAGGGGTCGGTATCAAAATGAAGTGGGGAAGTGTACGTACACTTGAGCTTCTCGTCTAATCGGCCACGGCTCGTGACACTGAGGGCGCATATGAACTCCTTGAAGTCAATAGTACCATTTTTGTTCTCGTCAAATACGTTGAAGACGTAGTCTGCAAAGTCTCCTGGATCCCCGAATGGAAAGAATTGTTTATATATACGACTGAATTCAGTCTTGTCCAGCTGGCCGGATGGACAATCCTTGAGAAAGCCCTTATACCTGTAGTGCGATTAAGATGAAACGAACGCCACAAGAGACGATAAATAGAAAGAACCATTGCTGTAGCTCTCTCTTGTCGACTATGGTAAAGTATCAGATGGAATCGATATAAGATATTTCGGAACTGACAATAAGTGTTCTTTTGTAGATCTGCAAGTTGCTCCGGTGAAAGTTTGCTCTGAGATTTGCCCATGGTTGGTTGGTTGTTCTGGATAAGATTGACTGTGTGGTTTATAAAGAAGAATGGGTTAGGCTACGTTGCGGCCACCGTGACCAAGTGTTGCTGGCAGGGTGGATGGCTTCCATAAAGAACACCCTAGCTAATCTAAGCGCTGGAAGGCCGAGAACCGTTTCACACGAGCTTCTAGAAAATCCAGAAAAAAATAAATACGAAATTAGAATTGATTGTAAATTTGATTAGGAGATTGTGCTTAATTTGTCGAATTTATGATATAATTTTATAGAATAACCGTTTTTGGATTTTATGCTGTCTACACGTTTTAAAACATGAGGACGACGTCGAACTAAAAGCGTTTCAATTGTTACAGCAGGGGAGCATATAAAGGATTCGAATCGATCTTGTCAGTCTGTTACTGACCTCCATTGCTTCTTGTCATCGTAACTCATCATGATCTCCCTCACGGAACCGATCAGTAGAGCGCACCCAGGATACGGCGGTCCTGCCTTTGCTATTCCACTTCTTTCTCAGTCCAGTCTCTTGAACCGGAACCCTTTTTTAGTTATCCTGCATTAGTATTTCATATAAATTCATCCCATCTCCTCCTCCCCCAATATCAGTTTCATCAATGTGCTACCTATATGGATCGACTGACCCAGCATCCGTTTTCTGTCCCATGTGTAAAGTATTCAAGCCGAGTGGAAACAGGTAATGTCCTTTAATTCATCAAAGAGTCCTCTAATTAACCTTACCCACGCTAGATGCCCTCACATCCGAGATGTATGTTACAACAGAGCCTTACATCCTCGTCATGACGTTGTTCATCTAAAGAATGCCGAGGGTATGTACTCTTATAAATCATAGCTGTAACACTCACCGATTGCTTTAAATCTTAGTTAAATCTTTTAATGGATGTGGTTATTGCAAGGTCATTTCTTTTCATGTCAATCATCAGTACATTGAACACCTCGATCTACAGTGGGCTCGCGCTAATCCATCCTCCAAAGTCAGCTTGCATCAGAACCCCGGTTGGCCTGGATGCTGCCGGCCTCCAAATCCCAATGAGCAGCGCCTCATACAGGCTGCAGATTGGCCTAGTGTCAGCATCGTCCATAGCATACCTATGCCTCAAGAGATAAAAAGTATTCTCGAAAGCGTACGAGGTGCCATCCTCCCTGGTGTCTCACCTACAAATCGCAGTCCAGCAACCCAGCAGCAAATGCCATCACTGGATCGTAGAAACAGCGGTAGTAGTCCCACGACCAGGTCTAGCCCAACCTCTGGGAAGAATCAGGCGATGCCCATTCCAGCAAGAGGGCGCTCAGGTGGAAGTCCTGTACAACAGAGCTCCCCTTTGACAGGAACGACGCCGCGAGCGTCTGGGCCCCTGTCTTCATTTGCAGAGCAAAGCACATCGCCTCGTCGCCAAACAATCTCAGAAGGGGTAGAGAAGACAAACCGCACTCCCTCCATGCGTAGAGCGACAGACTTAGACGGTTCGTTGTCACGGCGTAACGGTGGAGGTCGGCCTTCATTATCTTCGGTCTCAGCATCGTTAAACTCATCTAAGCCTTCTGGGGAGTACTGCCCGCCACCTCCTTATCCATCTCCCGTCGACGGCGTTCCCATGAATTCGCAAGATTCTCCGTTATCTTCCCGACGATCTACATTAGAAGGTGCCATGGCGGCGTTAAAGGTTGGGAACACTACGGGGAACAGTAGTGATAGCGGTAGCTCGCAAGGCTCCGCATCAGATGCGACCGTGATCTCCGACGGGGGCTTCACAGACTACTTGTCAGATGAGTCGGAGGCAGAATTACAGAGACAGGCAGAGGCCAAGGCAGCTCTAGTTGCGCAGAATCAGGCAGAGGAGCAAGAGTTCAAGGCTGCCAGGCAGCAACTTGCCGGAGTTGGCTTACGACCGCCCAAGTCCTGGGATGATACCAATGATGCTATTCCGCGTACTATGCAAAACGCAGGAAATCACGCGGTGGGCTATGCGCATCATCCAGCGTATGCATCTCCTGTATTTGTACCTGCTGCTGTCGCACATTCTGCTCGCGGATGATAAGTGACTCTGCTGGACCTACACGTTTTATCTATTATGCATCTTTTTAAACCTGTCGTAGTCGTCAATATTTGTTACCTGTTCTATGGGTTCCATATGTACAATATTTGATTCAATTGCGTCGAACTACCTCACTAGCTATAGCGGTACAGATACTTGGACTAGCTAGTAAACAATTGTTTGCTTGTTTAAAGTTTGCGGCTGATGACAGTCAAAGGCCTAATTGCGCCACTTCAAAAGCTTTAGCTCCAGCCACAGCCTGATGCTGATACAGCATGCGGGCTCCTCAGACTGAGCGATACACTTTATCTCCTCCTTTTCATCACGTCGATCCATGAACCTAGCTCGACACTCTATCACTGCTACAAACCCCATTCAGATCTTTGATACCCGATTTGAAGCAGACTGTCAGATATTTACTACTACGACACCTGCAGGGTTTGCTGTGTACCAGACATGGCCACTGAAGCTTATTCGCAAGAGAGGTGGATAGGTAGCATTCTTTCTGTTCGCTGTTGATCTTCATGCATCAAACAGAGTTTACTGGGGGAACCCTCGCCGCCGTAGTGCCGTGTCATACATCGTCTCTGCTCTTTCTCCTTGGAGGAGGCCGCAGTCCACTCTATCCTCCAAATAAGGTGGTCGTATGGGATGATGCGGCTGGGGAAGAAGTAGCAGAGCTAGAATTTAGGGAAAGGGTCAGAGGTCTTGCTTGTAGACGTGGATGGCTTGCAGTATCGTTTCGGAGAAGAGTTGTATTATTCGAGGTCGGGGAGACCATCGTCCGACGAAATGAATTTGACACCTGTGATAACCCTCGAGGTGAGCCGGGTTATCTACGTGCGTATATAGACGATTTATGCTCTTCGGTATGTAGGCTTGCTTGCGATGGCTACTGGGGCATATTCAACCCTTCTGGCTTTCCCTGGTCGGCAGATGGGGCACGTACAATTAGTACATCTACCGCCTTGTATTCCACCCACGCCGGTCGGCCCCCCACCTTCTGCACTACCATCTCGCCCGCCACCTCCACCATCAAAGCATCCAGTCTCGATTATTGCTGCACACGAGTCCTCCTTGAACACTCTCACCGTTCCTCAATCAGGTCGGATGCTCGCTACGACTTCATCCCGCGGTACCCTCGTTCGTATATGGGACACGCTTTCAGGAAAGCTGATACGTGTATTCAGGAGGGGGTCAGATAAGGCCGAAATATATGGGGTTGCCTTTCGTCCCGATGAGAAGGAAGTATGTGTTTGGAGTGATAAGGGTACTGTACACGTATTTTCTCTCATGTCCGGCCCCTCGTAAGTCATTCCTGTCCCACCCGAAATCTATTAACGCTGATGCGATTGGATGATACAGTAATCGACAATCGTCCTTGTCCCCGCTCGCTTCACTCATCCCTTACTTTGACTCCGAATGGTCATATGCTCAGTATCGCATTCCAGCGCAAGCCTCCCACATATCACTATCTTCTACTACGTCGTCCTCTCGTTCGCCCACGGCTGACATTACCGATGAGGAGAAGTGCATGGTCGGCTGGATCGAAGCACCTTCTGATCGTAGCGAACCCGGTCGTGATCCGTCTATGGAGTACCAGCTTATAGCGCTCACGTACAGTGGGGGCTGGTATCGTTTATCACTGCCACAAGGGATATCTAACATCTCTTCGCCATCTGCGGGTGGGACCCCGCTGTCCAGCTCCCCGCCCAAGGCATCTTCGCATTCTCGTCCGCGCACGAACAGTGTGTCATCTATCACTAGTCGCACGGAGAAGGGAAAGGAAAGGGAACGCGACAGGGACCGAAAGGACAATCGAGAACTAGTTCTGCAAGAGTACCGGAAGTATGGTAGGTGGGATGGTTGGGGCTAGAATGGTAATGATTTCTGTTGTCTTGTCTCGTAGTTTGGGGTCAACGCACTACTCGTTCCCGTTCATAATTATTCACGACTCATAGTACCCTCGTAGTTCATTTTTCATCCTTACATGATCTTGTTTTTGTTGCACACATGAATGTTATATTATGCATCCATTGTATTTCTCACGATGACTTCTAAATCGAGACTATGTGCACTCATGATATCATCGTGACACGAACGGCTCGCCGCGCACCATCAACTAACTTAGGCTCATCGTCTACGTATCAGCTGTATTGAAATTTTATCATGCCTGTTGTTTCGGTCGGTATGCCTCTGGGACCGGGGTGCTCAACTTGCGGTTATTGTGGACCACTAGGAGAGCGAAGTAGTACCGAGACTAGCTTTAAGAAAGCAGGGTTTATTGCCTCTCAACTGTCATGCAGAGTGAGTACTTTGTGGGACAAGACACATGTTATCCTGTTTTCCTTTTCTGATAGTTCGCCAGGTCTATCAAAAGATGATCTACCGAGGGTGGAGACGATCTGGAACATATTGTTATGCTCCTGATCTAAGACGCTCGTGTTGTCCACAGTACACTATCAGGTATTTTGTCTGTGGATGTGCTGCGAGACTTTGCTTATATGAATTCGATCTCAGGCTTGATGCGATAGCATTTAAGCCCTCTCGCAGCCAAAGAAAAATCATCAACCGGTAAACATCTCCGGATGGACGTCTCGGTGGATTGGCAACTAATTTGACTGATGAATGTTTGTTAACAGATGGAATCATTTTGTTATGCAAGGTCACAAATCAGAGGCTAGTAATTTTCTGCTACTACAGGGTATATCGTCTCCCCCGAAACCACCCAAATCAGAGGGTAATGCTTCGAAACGCGATCCTCCAAATTTTTCTCTGTCTACCTCGATACACGCCGCTGAGTCTGACTTCGTTTCTCCAAATGCAACAGCCCGTCATAAATTTAAGGCATGACATGCATGACGTTCCGGACCATCGATATTAAAGTGTTATAATAGGTAACGCTCGAACCATCAACCTACTCGGAAGAGAAATATGCGCTTTATCTGCTATACCAAAGAGAGGTCCACCACGACCCATACAACACACCAGAAGACTTCAAGCGTTTTCTTGTAAAAAGCCCTCTAATAGTACGTCTCTATGTAGTTACACCCAGTGATCGGCGTTAACACTCACCTTTTGAAGAATGAACCTATCCCATATACTACAAGCCCACCTGATCATCTTCCGTCACAATATGGTTCTTTCCACCAGATGTACCGCCTTGACGGCGAATTAATCGCCGTGGGTGTCATTGACATCTTGCCTGAATGCGTCTCCAGCGTGTATTTCATGTACGATCCAAAGCATGAGAAATATTCCCTTGGGAAGGTCAATAAATTGGTGCATTCATCGTTTTTGTGCGATTGAGCGAGCTGTGTTTCTAGCTCAGTGCAATCCGAGAGGCCTCATTGGCTAGAGAAATACATGATGCAGGTGTTATCACCATGTCCTCACTTGCCATGGGTGAGATATTATTGTCGTCATCAATGTGCCCATCTGAGTGCTTGCCTCACTTCAGGGTTTTACATCCACTCTTGCCAAAAAATGAAGTACAAGGGCGGGTATTCGCCTTCATATCTCGCCGACCCTGTAAGTAATGATGTCACTGATAGCTTTGGAAGACTAGATTCATCTGCAAAATCAGGAAAAATTTACGTGGTTTCCTTTGGCGGATTGTATTCCGCAATTAGAAAAGTTTCGCTATGCCGCTTTCGTGCACCCCGAACATTCATTGGAAGGTCCACAGGATCCTGGCGAAGGTATGATTGGATGATCATTTGGTATTATATTTACATTTCCCCTTTCAAGGCCCTCCTGTTCGCGTCTCGGAGGAGTTACTCGATGAAGTGATGGTCATTTATTCCATGCAACAGGGGGCGATATCCATAATCCCCATTAATGTGAGTACATAGTTGACAACCCGATCGCTTGGAAGCTGAATATTCTCCTAGTTATCTCACCAGTGGAACGATGAATATAATCGCGAAGAGATTTTAAGTTGCGTCAATGCGCTAGGAGATGAGTTGGCAAGGGAGATCATATTTCGGTAATAGACGATAACGCGATATCTCCATTTTTTTCTCTGGTTAGATTACATAAGTTGGCGTCGTCTGCAAGCCAAGACCCTTTATAGTGTTAGTCAGCACGTGATCGCTAGCACCAACACGAGAATCTGATTTTGTGTGAAACCAGATCTGCTTAAAGCTCTCAATCAAGCTGGTTTTTGAAGCGATATGTCGCTATTCTCGAAGTTTTTAAAGTTAAGCAGGCCGTTAACCTCACGACGGGTTCACAGTGCTACCGACCCAGAAGGTTCCAGGAGGGCATGGGCTTTAATTGGCAGGCCATTGCGATGGATGTACTGGCTTCCTCTTGGCCTGGGCTTCACACAGTACTTCTATACTCTGAAAACGGTCAGAGGAAGGAGCATGCAGGTCTGTCGTGAACTCAAATGCTCCAATAACGTCTTTGACTAGTCTTATGTGCCAGCTAGCCAACTCTAAATCCGGATACCTCAAGTTGGGATGATATTGTTATTTTTGACAGGTATTCCATCAACTCTGGAGAGCCTATTCGAAAAGGCGACATTGTGGCACTTCGGTACGACCAATTCTATGGGGCATGGGGAAACTGCTTATATTTCCTCTGTTCAGGGATCCTATAAATAGTAGAAAAATGCTCGTGAAGCGAGTCGTAGCTGTGGCAGGGGATATTGTCAAAACCCTACCTCCATATCCTGATGCCGAGGTTTTCATCCCCGAAGGTCATGTTTGGGTGGAGGGTGAGATACATCGTTTTCACTCGAACAAGTCTTGACGTTGCATTAGGTGACGAACCCTTCCGGACTCTTGATAGCAATAAATTTGGCCCAGTGAGTCACTATGCTCCTTAATTCACCTGCGTTAATACTTCGCTACAGGTCCCTCTTGCTCTTTTAGACTCCAAGTTGATGTATATCGTCTGGCCATTGGATCGTATAGGGCCTCTGCGTCCACCGATCTCCCCAGTCTCCAAGAGAGGTGCTTCCCGAGATTTTCGATGGTATAGCGACATGGCAGCCTTCGAACGAGAGCAACGTAGGCAGTCGAGGGTAACTACACGCTCGACGACGACATCTCACTCGTAACTTAGCTGGCTTTTGCAAGGTATATTACCATTCAAGCAATGGGTCTGCCATGACGGACCTCCTCCGTGTTCACTATAATATATGGGTGTTTATCATAGCATTCCTCCTGGAGTGGTGACTTTTCGGTCTATTGTCTTGATTCTATCGATCTCTGTAGGGAATATCCTTCCGCAAAGAAACCTTGACCGGCAAGTACCCTCGTAGGAAGCACAAACATAGTATCAGAAGAATTCCTTGGTCGGGTTTTACTCTGCTAGCAATGGTGTTGACGCTCACCACAATTCAAGCTAGGAGTTTTATCACCTTGCTCCGCAAGGTCATGTTCAAATGTTAAAACTTCGTATGAGTCACGCTGTGCTGACCTAGCCTTGAAGTTGTACACACCCTCTGACATTCAATGTGGTTTACTCATGGCGCTCGCTGCATTAAACGGGTTTATACGGTGAAAGTCGGCAGGGCCCAACTTTAGTAGAATAGATGTAGATGACAAAATTACTGTAAATAATATACCTATCCGTTATCATCGTCCTCGACCCGACGTGTCACTGAAGGTGTGTGCGTTGATCGATACGTCAGGTCGTTGAACAATGTTTTGTCGAGGGTGAGGAGCTCGATATCGCGCTGAGCAAAAACACTCTAATCCGCACATCAGCCTGCCATGGCCGCTCTCAGCTTCGCGACCTCTACCCGGGGAATGACGTTGATTTCAAATGGCTCTGCATGGGGAGTGACGCGGTCACTGAAAGCGTACGTGTTGATCGGTGCGTCAGGTCGTTGAGCAATGCGGAAAGACCACATGAGAAGTGCGGTGATAATGTACAACGCGTGATTTGTGAAGTGCAGGCCAGGACATACACTTTTAATGACGAATAAGAATTAGTTGAGTGGTGTCAGAAAACCGAAGTTGGCACGACTTACCGTCTACCAAAGCCATACGTGATGAACCTCGCATTATTGTCCTTAAGGCGGCCTTCTGAATCAAACCAACGCTGGGGATTGAATATTTCAGGATCTGGGAAGGCGATAGGATCGCGAGAAAGAGCCCTGAAAACATTCGCTTAATGAAACAATGTACATCGTGAAGCAATACCATACCAATGGCAGCCGTAGACCGTTGCTCCTTTGGGAATACAGTGTCCTTTCTGATTGCACATAGATTAAAATGAGAACGTGGGTTAGAACAAAGTAAGACACTGACCCACAAAACATCCTTGGTTGCACGGTGGGGAAATCCTGGGACACATCAGCATCATCCAGGAGCGTGCCGAAATTCGAATTTACCTATCTGAACGACAGGTCTCCATCTCAAAGCTTCCAATATGAACGCGTGCAATTGAGGGAGCGAGCTTGAGTCATTAAATGTCGGCGCTACAACGAGAAATTAACTGAAAAATCAAAATCTTGGTTTGGCATTACCTCTGTCTAAGCCAATGACCATATCGAGCTCTTCATGTACCTTTGCCTGGGCGAGTGGGTGGCACGCCACAGCCATAATAATAGTGGTAATTGCAATAACGATCTGAACCAGAAGTTAGTCCGCAGAGAACAATAAGTTGCATCGCTTGCCGTATCAAATCCCGCCCCAAAGAGTGTTCCGGCGAGATACGCCATCTCATCCGTAGAGAGTTGGTGTTCTTCGGTGTTCTCCAACAATGCCTTCGTCAAAGAGGGGTCAGCTTTGTTTTCATCCTGCGTGTAGTGAAATATAAGTGATACGCATTTATCGAAATAAGAGAGCCCCTCACCACTTCACTCTTGACGCGCCTTAGATGATACCTAAATAACTCAAGCTCTTCATTGTGCCACTTGTAAATTTGTTTTCCGTAACCAGGCAAGTAGCGCAAAAGGGGAACCCGATCGACAAGATAAGCTCCTGGGCGAATTACAGACTGGAAATTGTCAACGACTCTGCAGAGACGAACAAATTCGGGATTGGCGATGGCAGTGGGCGCAGACTTCCCATAAGTCACCCGAAGAACGATTGATGATGCAAACCTTGGGGTGCCATATCGATGAAAGGTTCACAAAAGGGCTTGGTAATGACGTACCGCTGTGTGTGCTTTTCATAGTTTGTTGGGTCATTCAGTACATCCAATATAAAATCCATCGCGTTCTCGTGCAGCATATCTTGGTATGCCTCTGCTGCCTTTGGCTGTAAATGAGGATGTATTGCTTTTCGGAGGCGCCTGAAGCGTTCTCCGGCGCCGGCCATGGTGAGGCTCATTCCATTTGAGAGCATTTCACCCGCGGCAATGGACCGAGGTCGATCTACCAGTGATGCACCTTCTTTCTCCATGATGTCTTCGGCTGCCTAGTAAATGAGTTATTTTCGAGGGAGCTCAAGATATGGGCAGATTACCTCCACGCCGCCGATGACGATTATCACTTTGCTACCTTGTCGGAACGACACAACCGGCCCATACTCTCGAACCAAGTCGGTCAGCGTACAGGCAATGCTGAGCGGACGATCTACATCAAGCCATAATATCTCGTATGACATTGCCAAAACTCACTTCACAGTAGGCAAAGCGTTTCTCCAGAACCAACGGGCGGGAGGTCCAGGTGGAAGCTGGATGCCCTTCCTGTGCGCTAGCGAGAATTTCTTGTATGTTACGACGAGCACCGCTACGACTATGGCGACACAAGCGGCATAGTTGGTATTCCCGGTGAGAGCTTCCAGCATCATGATGTAATGTGGGCTGGAATAAGATATAAGTGAATGTGCATCTGATAAACCGTGTATGTCCAACCCATCTTATAGTATCTCGCACTCAGCCTATTATCCGATACACAATTGAAATGCACCACTGCGATTATTGAAGGGACGACAGGGTGTACACGCAAATTGAACGGTATATCATTGCTCGTACCAATCCATTCCTAAGGGAACCGAAATTTTTCGAACGAGTAGCAGGAAACAGTAGACTTTTGCCACGTGTTGGTATAGATTGTGGATTACGAACAAGGTAAATGAGTCAGGGTTATGTGTGAGGAAAAAGAGTTCGCTTGATGACTCGGAGTCCTTGCATGAATGCGTTCTGCTAAGCGCGGAGTAATCTTCAGCCGTGGAGTCATTTCCACCAGTAACCGTTACTACTGATAAAAAACCCAAAAAGAGTTTGAGCCTTTTAATGTGAAGAATGATGGTGCTTCAATTCCTGGACCTACCAGGTCAAGTTTAGCCTGAGGTTATTTTCGTCTGTAGCCGCCGCCATCGGTGTTTCCGTCTTTCCTGACACGTTTGCTACAGGCCTTCGTCATTCTCAGCGTATTAATTGTTGAAGATGAACTTGATCTACCGCACATTATCCAAGTGCGTTACGGAATGGTAGTTGAACGGTTGCTCAGTGACTCGACCTGGTGGCGGCGGATAGGATTGTGATATATATCGGATCTGATCGAGTATTACTGAGTTGATTAACAAATCACCATCTATACGTACCTTCACATTTATACTTCCACATATTAAATATCAAGTAGTATGCCGGGTACCGTGGTCCGTGGTAGTGTCGTGGGCAGAACTGAACTGGCAGAACCTTGCAGAATTATGTAAGGAAAAAAGATGGCACTCATTGATGTGAGATCACGAGTTGCATTGGGCTTCCGCGTGTTTCGCAAAGTTGAATGTTCTCCCTTAAACCTTCTAATACTTCCGCCCCAGTTCAAGGCAAATGTCCCGCATCGTCCTTTCCCCATTATACATGTCTTCTAGTTGACATCTAGGTATTGAGTTATTAGCTCAAGGTCAAGTTCTTAGTTAAATTAGTATCGCAAGCCCTCGTGCAACAATCCTAAACCTTTCCAGAGTGTCTCCTAGTATCAAGTGATAACCAGACAACCAGATCATCTAGTACGCAACAGGAGTGCACGATCATTTCGGTGCGTAAAGGGTTGATTCAACGATCCTTGCTTGGCTTGCGACTTGCCGCGGCTTGAACTTGACAACTTGAGAAATTGAGCATTTCGAAAAGCCTACCCGGGCCAGAGAACCTTCAAGACCGTAGCTGACATCATTGGAGACTGTTGCAAGTGGCGGGCCATATCCATATGGGGACGGCAAACAATCACTCGTCCCGCCATCAATATTAATGATGCTGTTACCTTGGTGCGAAAATTTGACCGTCCAGGTTTGCAGTCCAAAAAGGTGGCGGAAAAATGTTTTTTGTCGAGTATTTACTACCCTACTAGGTAGGAGGAATGCTCATATGCATATTGACGCTCAGGATGTCCCTCAAGCTCGAGATTTCGAGGCGCTGCTCGAGGTCCTTCCGCTCAAAGCCAGGTCTTTTCAGCCATCAACTACCAGCTGGAGTCACTGACGTTGTCAGGAACGTTTAACTCCATGTGTTAACTTAGAGTGTAAGGTGAATCATGCAAGTCGAGACAACCTGTGGACTCAGCGAAGCGGAACATGCACCACCTTGATGTGCTAGAAATCGGACCACGGACACTTGAGAGGTAGTGACATCAAGTGGAGTAGCTCTCGGTGCTCGCCACTGTCTTAACTGAGGGTGACCAACATTCTCCAAACACGCATACCATACACCATACCTGACAAAGCGCCACACTGCGTGATCATGCAACCATTTCGCAGAGTTCCACATTCTAAATCTTTTCGAGCAACCTGCATTCACAGCCAAGACACCTCAGCTCCACTCCGAACCAAAACATTATGTTGCGTTCCCCAACATCAAGGTTTTGCTAAAGACAAGTAGATCAGCAGGATTGTTGCCATAACATGACGGTGAAACATACTAAAGCAATGATTCGACGTGATTTCAAGAATAATCTTGATCGACCCTGCCTTCACCTAAGAGCACGAAGATTCTTTCTCCTTCTCCTTAGAGCGTTCAAATGGTGACGTCGCCATCCAAGCGGACACATTTCCTCGATATGCGTAGACAGCAGGCCTCATACTACGAATAGTGAGCAATGACCTTGATCAGCATGGCTCGAGCTTGAGGGAGGGTCGACACACTCACGTCCTGTTAATGGATGGCCGACGACTTTGATAGGCATGGCTCGAGCTCGAAGGAGGATCGATACATCCACATGCTGCGAACAGTGGGCAATGGCTTTGGTCAGCATAGCTCGCGTTCGAAGAAGGATAAACGCACTTGCTCACTGTCGAAGGATGCATCGATGAGCAACGACTTCAATCAGCATGCCAGAAAGGATCAACAGACGTACTACCTGTGAGTACACGCCCAACATGAATGAGAGCAACCTTTAAACTTTTCGATAATGTTGCTCAAATATGTGGAAACCAGGCGCCCGATGTCCCTTTATCTCCTTGGGATCCTTCGATGATGTTGTTTCGGTATAGTTAAAAGTGTTCTGGACAATATCAGTGGGCTAACACTTGCGGCAAGTAAATGAGACCATGGGTGATTACCTCTCCGATGCAGAGCTCCAAGTTGGTCTGCTGGGTCGAGACGAATAATTGCTTCAGTACTTCGTTGCCCAGAGTTCCAGCCGTGCGTTCGATGAGTGGCCTGCAGTCTGCATCGTCCTTGTCCATATCTAGCAGTGGATCAGCCTCATAATGTATCAGATTCATAAGTCAACGATCAACAACTTACTAGGAAGGCATACATGACATTTTGGAGGGCGTCGAATGTCCCTACAAATAATGGAACTGAGGACTGTCACGATTCTGCGCATCAGTTGAACCTTAACGACGGTTGGATGCGAAAGCTTACTGCTTCCAGTGTCGCACTGAGTGGACGACCTGCTTGCCTCGTCCATTGGGATGCAGTACCTATGTTAAAACTGTGAGATAGCGCATGTTGTGATTGATCAGTTGCAATTACCAGATAGCATGGAGTTGTTTGTCGGTTTTCGTTTCCTCTGAGCGGCCCTCGATAAATGCCTTGACCTTCTCGAATTCGGATCCACCGCCTCCACGTGAGTCATGAAAGACGAATCCCGGGTTGCTTTTGAACACCATCTCTCCGCGCTGAGAATGTGTCAGTTCATGTTACCAATTGCTAGCATCGTGATGCCCACCTTTTTCCCAGCGCTGTATATTGTTGGGTTCTCCGGTGTGTTGCAAACTCTTGAAAGCACGGTAGTGGTTCCTGCACTCGCCCTTCCTATAACGAGGATTCGAAAGCGACCAATTTTCTTAGGGTTCATGGGAGAAGGTGAATGTGACAGAAGCATTTTCAGTATAGCCTTATAATCATTGCTGTGTGCGAACTCGGTGAATATCCAAGTTGAAGTCGGCATCTAGATTCACTGGTGCACCGGTGGGCAATGGGTATATGTATACATAGCTGTAATATATCACATGAGGTATACACGACGTCGAAGTGACATTGTTGATCATTCGGAAGCGCGCGATGGAATATCTGTGTTCAAGTTGGGTCATAAGGACCCATGCTAGTAGGGGGCAACGCGGCGGTGTCGCTTGAGCAGTGCTAGCCGCGATCAACGGTATCTCGATCTCAGGTCAGAGGGTATGCTTGGTACTTGGTTTGACTCACACTTCAAAATTAAAAACTAGTTGGCTCCACGGTACCGAAACGTCCAGGGTTCCCGGGACCCGTTAGTAACTTGCCAAATGTCGTGGGAAAAGAGTGGATACAAGTCATTGAAAGAAAGGTCATCACATCAGATTCGGGGCCATCACAAGTACGCAAGTTGTTTACTAGGTGACTACCTACGCGACAAACGGAACGAACTCTCCTTATCATTTCTTACATTGTCCAGAGGGTCTACCAAGTTAGCATGTCTATTCTCGTGCATCTTGACCAGTTGACGTCTGCTCCTGGCGAATATGCTGTTCAGAACTTCAATGATGCCAAGCTACTGGACGACTGGATAATGTCTGTTGCATGTCAATCATGTCTTTAGAGTCAAACAAGGACTCACTTTAATTGTCTAGGCCCAAGTCATTTGCAAGTCCAGGTACCCTGCTTCGACTGATATATCCTTAACCGACCAACTCACCACGCATAGATCATGATGTCAATGACGATCTAGAAAAGGATTTCCGAACCTCCATCACGGATGTCTTCATCACTGGTCAGAAATTGTCGCTATCAGCGCCTGAGCACCTAATAGGTAGATTGTCAAGGTTGGTGTTCCTGGGCTTGTCACGTCCTTCTGCAGGAACCTCATGATCGTGACATGTAGCAAACCACGAGAAGTTCTAGAACATATCTCTGGTATTCTGTCGACCACACTCCCCGATGATGCTATATCAGGCGAGCTCGCTGATCTGGTCGGCTTTGACGACATCGAAATTGTCGCAGAATTGCTCGCCTCTAGATCTTACTTTGTGAACGTGGTCAGTAGTGATCAAGTGCATCACATGTAATGACTCACAGTACCTAGTTGTCTGGACGAGACAGAACGACATTTGAAAACTCAACCTCAGGCAAACCAAAAACAGGTGGTTAGTGCTGTCCATCATCATTATTTATTATTACTAACGTGTGGTTCAGTTGTAACTGCCAGCCTTGCTCCACAGGATGTTCGTCGTCGCATGGAAGAGACTCTCAGGACAAATGCGTCTCGTCCTTTGTTTACTGGCGTGGCAGTAAGTTCATTTGCGCCTTGACGTGAGCCCTTGTTCAAAATATCCAGCAAGAAGCTCCAGAAGTGCTTCCACATGTGTACTCTTCGTCCTCTATGATGCAAGGCGGTTCGCTTTCTCAATTTGGTAGCAAGTACGTACTTCCAGTCGGACATACAAGACATAACTACGAGGTCGGTTACAAATGCCTTACTTAATCCCATCTGCTGACCAGCGAGTCAGGAATATGAGGAAGTCATCCTTCCTCCTTCCAGAGTAATTCCACCCAGGAAATCCGAAAGACTCATTCTTGTCAATGAACTTGATGAATTAACTAGAGGCTCGTTCACTGTATGTATCCCATCCTTTCCCTCTATTTTATATATATTAAACCTTCTCTTTTAGGGATATTCTTCCCTAAATCGCATGCAGTCTATCATCTATCCAACCGCTTATGAATCAAACGAAAATATACTGGTTTGCGGTGCGTCTTCCGGTTGTGCCGCGTGGTCTTTAGCACCCTAACGGCGTTCGACAGCTCCCACTGGTGCTGTTAGCTTATTCTGCGTGTCGTCCTTGAACTGTAGCTGATCGAACTCACATTATAGGGTAAAACCGATATAGCGATGTTAACGATCCTTCGGGTTCTCAACCAGCACCGATCACCTATCAGTCCATCATCACATTTGCATGCTTCGATAGATCGCAGTGCCTTTCAGATTATTTATGTGTGAGCTTTCAATAATGTTTTGCTTATAATAAAGCGTCCTGACCTTTAAAAAACATAGTGCACCTATGAAAGCTCTGGCTTCTGAGATCGTTCGAAAGCTGGGGAAAAGACTAAAGTGGCTCGCTATACAAGTCAAGGAATTGACAGGAATGGAAATTCTCTCCGATACATGCATCACTTATTAATTTTCTATGTAGGTGACATGCAACTGACAAAATCTGAAATCGCCGAAACCCAAGTCATAGTCACCACACCTGAAAAATGGGACGTCGTAACGCGAAAGCCCACTGGCGAAGGCGAATTAGCTTCAGTATGTCTCCATATAAGTGCCGTGCTTTCACCTGCCTGACGGTCTTTTGCATGTAGAAGTTAAAGCTTTTGATCATCGACGAGGTGCATCTTTTGAATGAAGAACGTGGGGCCGTCATCGAAACCATTGTTGCGCGCACGTTACGACAGGTACATGTTCGTTCTCTTAGAGGTGAATTCGTGACCAACTCGTTTGTAGGTCGAATCAAGCCAATCTGTCATTAGAATAGTTGGGCTCAGTGCAACGTTGCCAAATTATTTGGATGTCGCAGATTTCTTGAAGTTTGTTTGCCCACATTGATCTTCTGATCAATCAAACTAACTCATAATCAGCGTGTCCCGATATAAAGGACTCTTTTTCTTCGACTCTTCCTTCCGACCGGTACCTTTGGAGCAGCACTTCATTGGAGTTCGAGGAAAGCCTGGAAGCGTACGGTCTAAAACGAATCTTGACCGCGTCACATACGAGAAAGTTTCTGACCTAATACGACAGGGACACCAAGTGATGGTGTTCGTTCATGCGCGGAAAGAAACAGTGAAAGCGGCGCAAGCTTTGAAGGATGCAGCGACAATAGATGGCACATTGGAGGATTACAACTGCGGGGAGCATCCTCAATGGTCATTTTTCCGAAGGAGCATAGGAGATTCTAGGAATAAGGAGATGAAGCAACTGTTTGATCTTGGGTTTGGTATTCATCATGCGGGTATGCTGCGATCTGATCGAAATATGATGGAGAGGATGTTCGAAGCTCGAGCTATCAAGGTCAGTGGTATTGGCGTGGAAATAACCCAGGCGAAAGCTAATATATCGGAGGAAGGTTCTCTGTTGTACATCGACGCTCGCATGGGGAGTCAACTTACCTGCTCATGCAGGTGAGAAATTTTTACTGTGTCCTTCATTCTTCTCTCATGAAGGAGTCAAGTTGTAATCAAAGGCACTCAGTTGTACGACAGCGCAAAGGGATCCTTTGTCGATCTCTCGGTTTTGGATGTATTGCAAGTGTTTGGTCGTGCTGGCCGGCCTGGTTTCGAGACAAGTGGTGAAGGCTACATCTGTACTACCGAGGACAAACTCGTACACTATCTTGATGCTGTAACGTCACAGGTACGTTTATCCAGCCACGACGAGCGATGAATGCTGAACAATCATCCAGAACCCGATTGAATCTCGGTAAGATGAATGATTGTCTTTATGCCGATATTTCTCTGACAAAAGGTAGATTCATCTCAGGTATTGAAAACGCACTGAACGCCGAGATTGCTCTTGGTACGGTAACAAATGCCGATGAAGGTGTTCGATGGCTGGGATATACATATCTGTATGTTCGCATGCGGAAGAATCCCTTTCTATATGGCCAGTTTTTTAGAGCCCTGTTCTGTCATAGGAGCTGACAATTTAATTAGGCATGTCTCGGGATGAGGTGGTAGAAGATCCCTTTCTAGGCCGGAAGCGAAGTTCTCTGGTCATGACAGCAGCTCGAAGACTGGCCAGTGCAGGAATGATAAACCTTACTGAAAAGACCGGTGCGTTTTCGATAACAGACCTCGGCAGGATAGCGGCCAGGTACTACATTCGATATGCCTCCATCGAGGTCTTTAACAAGGAGTTCAAACCCAAGATGACCGAAGCTGATGCGCTTTCCATGCTCAGTATGAGTACGGAGGTGGGCAGTTTGTTTTGTGTCCTTGATGTCAGTTGACATTCAACAACAGTTCGACCAAATCCAAGTGAGAGAGTCGGAAGTGAAGGAACTAGAGCTTCTGATGAAGAAAGCTCCATGTACCGTGCGAGTGAGTAAGGTTCCTTGAGGTTCCAGAGTATCATTCAGAGTTTCGGCGCCAAGGGAGGAACAGATACAAGCCAAGGCAAAGTCAACATTCTCCTTCAAAGCTACATTTCTCGCCTTCCAGTCGAAGATTTTGCCTTGGTTTCTGACGCAGGATATGCGGCGCAGAATGGAGGACGCATTTCACGAGCTCTGTTGGATATAGCGATCAGCCGCAAGTGGGCTAGTGTGGCCAAGGTTTTTATGGGTATCACTAAGGCTATAGAGAAACGCCTTTGGCCATTCGACGAACCTCTTAGGCAGTTTGATCTCAAGGCCGAGATTATATACGGCTTGGAGAATTCAAGAGAAGAGTACTCGCCCGCAGAACTAGCTTCCATGACTCCAGTAGAGCTGGGTAAACTAGTTCGCTTAAACGAAGGCCACGGTAAAGCGCTCTGGAATGCAGCTCGGCAGTTCCCTACGGTCACAATGACTAGCTCACTTCGACCGTTGGGGTCAAATGTCCTCAAGATTGTAGTTTCGGTTACTCGAGACTTCGATTGGAACACCAAAGCGCATGGCTCCGGAGAGCCTTTCTGGCTGTGGGTCGAAGATCATGAAGGCATCGAAATTCTGCAGTTTGCGCACCTTCTGTTACGGGAGTCGACGAACTCCCTCGATGTGAATTTCGTGGTTTCGATACCGACCGACATTCCTCCCCCCTATTTCACCGTCAGATTTGTGTCTGATACATGGATGGGGGCCGAAGATGAACTCTATGTATCTTTGGATGGATTGGTTATGCCTGCTCCCTCTCATAGCCATACGCCTCGTTTGAATCTCCCATTTCTCCCGCGTTCCTCACTGTGTCTCCCTGTACTCGAAGATCTCTACTCAGCCCGGCTCCACGATTTCAATGCTATTCAAACGCAAGTGTTTTGGAGTCTTATTAACACTTCGATGAACGTGCTGGTATCTGCTCCCGTTAGTAGTGGCAAATCCCTCATGGGGCATCTAGCGATATGGTCAGTAAAGACATTTGTGATCCAAATATACTAAAGTGTCTATTAAAGGACAACCCTACTCCGCCGTCCGAAGTCCTTGGTGCTTTTCGTTGTCCCAAACCGAACTCTAGCTACTCAATCTCTCTTTGACTTTCGTGTCATTTCCAACGCACTTGACGTGGCGGTCAAGGTGTCTTCTGGAGAAGGTTTATTTTCTCCCTGCCGTACCAGCACAATACGCATCGTTACGCCGTCGGAGCTGCTCGAGGCTGTTGACCAGCGTAACCTCCACCATACAAACTATCCATCTCTTGTAGTGTGCGATAATTTGGAGCAACTCGATGCAACCTATGAACTCAGTATATCACTGCTACGACACACAACGCAAAATAATCCCACCCGATATATCGGCTTGTCGGCCTCTCTCAATGACCCCACGGACATCGCTCCATGGCTGGGTGTAGATCCCATGGCGCTCCATAGTTTTCGACCCACAGATCGAGATCAGTCGCTCACAATCATGTATCAAACCTTCACGATACCGCATTCAGCTGCATTGTTCAAGTCCATGTCGAAACCAGCATACATAGCTATCACAAGCGTACCATCCCATGAATCTGCCATCATCTTTGTCCCTTCGCGCAGTCATTGCCGGACGGTGGCGCAAGAGCTCATCACACAGTGCGCCCTAAACACGGAGATCGAGAGGGGCTTTCTCCCGCAATCTGTACCTCCTCTTTATGTTGAAGACTACTCAGCACGGTTGCAAGACCTGACATTGGTTGATTTTGTGACACGCGGTGTAGGGATCTTCCACAGCGGGATGTCAAAAGTAGATCGGAATCTTATCCTGGAGTTATTTGCTGAAGGCGTTGTTCGCGTACTCCTGGCGCCTCGCGATGCTTGCTGGCAGCTGCCTGTCCGGGCGGGAGTCGTAGTGGTCATGGGTACCCAGTATATTCATTTTGAGGGAGATGGCTCTGGTCCGCAGCTGCGAGATTACAGTCTTGTCGATGTCGTCCAGATGCAGAGTCGGGCTGTGAGGCACGATTCCCCTGGCCACTTCTTCCTCTTTTGCCAGGCGGAGACCAGAGACACATTTTCCAAGTTCCTGGCTGAAGGACTTCCGCTTGAATCGGAGCTGTTGGATTCATCCGTGTTCGAAAAATGGTACAAGGAAAGAAGAGGAGACGGGTCCATCAGAAACAAGCAGGATGCTGTTCAAGCACTCTCCTTCACGCTCCTTGCACGAAGGCTGGTCAGCAACCCGGTGTATTATGACATGGAAGTGGGCTCGCAAAATGAAGTCCTCTCGCGCATTGTTGACAGACTGGAAGAACCCGTTCTATAGCTATGTATAAAAAACTCTACCAGGCGTATAAATACATAGGGACTCGGATAAATAATTACATACATGCCTAGACTCTACACAAGATACTCCGCTAAACGTTGCAAACGCTCCCCAGCCTGCCTGAGTGTCTCCACATTCTTGCAGAATGCGAAACGCGCAAAGTTCTCACCGATAGTGCAATGCTCCTCACAATAGAACTATGCGATTGCATGAATATTGGTTCAACCTGGAAGCGTACTGACTTACCTCGCTGATAGGGATAGATGATACGCCAATTTCAAGGGCGATAAACCAACAGGCCCTGAGTCGTGGCCGGTTAGAACGAACAGAGCAAAAATGAGTACACATACTTGAAATCACGTCCTCGGCCTTGAACTGGCTCTGGGAAGGGGTAGTCCTCAGGGAAATTGATGCGTGAGATATCCTGGAGATGAAACATGTCAGTTGGCTATCTCGTCAGTGCAACCGGTACGTACCAGAAGCACGAAGTAGCTGCCTTCGGGATGACTGTATTTCATACCAAGCTTATCGAACGCGCTTAGGAGTATGTTACGTCGCTCTTGATATTCCTTGAGCTGATTCTCGAAGAAACCACGTTCCGCAGCTTGCTCGAGTCCAGCAGCAGCAGCCTCCTGTAGCGGAGAGTTTGAACAGAACACGATTCGCGTGCAGGCGGCGAGAGTGGGAAAGATGATTGATGGCGGGCCAATTAACCAACCTACACGCCAGCCTGTGGCAGCGAACGCCTCTGGCACATAACGTAAGATGGACCTCTATGGCTGAATTATTTACTCACTGCCAGCAGACAACACAGTTACCGTGCGATCCCACATGCCCGGTAACGTGGCAAAGCGGACGTGCTCCTTTCCGTCAAAGACGAGACAGTCGTACTGGAAGCAAGTAATCGTTGCATAAAACCTATAGTAACACGAACAGGAAACATACCACTTCATCTGCCATCACTAAAAGATTGAATTCTTCTGCGAGAGCAGCTATTTTCTCCAACTCTTCTCTCGTGAATACTTTACCGACGGGGTTATGGGGGGTATTGATGATAATCATTTTTGCTTTTGGAGTGATAGCACGGCTGTAAGGTTATAAATAGAGACTTTGATCTGAAGATGAGTCTGCATACCGCAATTCATCAAAGTCGATCGTCCAGTTACTATTATTTGGTGTCACAGCATCCGTTTGAGGATGAAGGGGGACGTAGACAGGCGTTCCGCCATTGAAGGTGACGAATGGTAAATATTGGTCGAAGAAGGGCTCGAACATGATCACCTCGTCTCCCTGCTCAAGGAAGGCAGTGAAGACGGAATATTGTCCTATAAAGCCCTGAACTACTGGTTGACTCATCTGCAGAATTACTAGACGAACCTTGGTTTGCTCCACTTGTTACGAGAATCTCGGTCTCGACATCGAGAACTCTATTGAAGGACTTCTCATAAAAGTTTTTGATGGCGTTCCGGAGACGAATGCGCCCCTTTGGATGGGAGTAGTGGTTAGGTAAAAGCGATTTGAGAGCTTCATCTGCGGCATCTGTGACCCATTTTGGGGGCGAGAAGTTCATATACCCTTGTCCAAGATTGATACAATCTGCGGGAAGGTTCGCTGCACTAAAGAAGATTGATGAATTGGCACCAAATTATCACAAGATATAGATGAAGTTACTTGTAAATTGACCACACGTCTTGCGCCAGCGCCCGACCACCACGAAGTCGTGAGGAAAACGGAATGAGGTTGGAGCGATCGCCATTGAGGGCGCCTTTGGAAAACTGAGCCAAATTTCCACCGAGAGAAGACATAAAACGATTTTGAGTGATAATATTAGGAGGACTGCGTTGAATGATACGGTGGACGGTGGACCCGGCTCTAGCCCTGCGCTCGAGAGAGGATGAAGACCAAAGACGTTCTGGAGAGAACGAAGACCAAAGATGCTCTGGGAAGCACGAAGACCAAAGACACGCCAGGGAGCACGAAGACCAAAGATGCTCTGAAGAGCTGATGCTGATGATGATGATGATGATGATACAACATGTCGTGCTATCTAATGTCTAAGTGCGCTGAGACCCCTTGCACTCCTGCCTGCCTGCCTCTGCTACCCGCTGCTCACGTCCCGCTGGCAACCCCCGGCACAACGGAAAGCTGATAGCAGAGTCATCATCAATTACCTTGCGGAGCGAGGTCTATCAGGACGTGATATGTCGTGGCAAACAGCACAAAATATGCACGTGATTGATGACGCGTGCCTATCGCATTCAACGAAACGAAACATGCCAGGTTACTAATACTGCGTGCCAACATGAAATATACATACAAAGTCGTAACGAACTCTTTTCCTATATCATTAACAAACTTTCAGCCACTTGTGTGCCTATCGCATTCAACGAAGCAAAAATACAAGGTCATAACAAACTCTTTTCGATACCGAAACCGCTGATCCTGAATGTTTTCAGCCGCATGTTAATCAATCTCAGTCATACTCACTTTTTCAGTTTTTGGATGATGAGGCCTTGACATTATGATGTGTTCTCTTTACCTCCCGCTCATCGTCTTGTCTGCCTTGAGGCCGTGGACGCTTGTAACTCGAAGTGTGATGGACAGGACCTGGACATAAAATGTCCACTTTTTCGACATTAGCCTGAAAGCTGTCAAATTGCTGAATCTTCCAATGATGGATGCGAAATTGCACTTCCACGATCGCACCATTGATGGCCTCATTGGCCATGGACGGTTCCACCAAATGTCCTTCGTGATAAAGAGGTAGAGGAATCGCCTGATAATTTTACTTGATTTCGTCAAACTCACTCACAAATTGGTCAGGAATAGGCCAATTACGAGTCTCTTCGTCCATTTGCGGAGCATTTTCTGCATTTTGCCCATGTGGAGAATCGGGAATAGTGTCCTCCTGTCATCAATGTGAGCAAATATGAACTGTGAGCAAATGATCATGTACCCTCATGTCAAAGATGCTCTTGACACAGCGCAACATCGTTCCCGTGACATCTTCAAGCAACATATTCTTAGAGTTTCCTGACTTTCTGACCTGCTTTTGCCACACGTCCAATGTTGCGATTGAAGTCTCATAATCTGTCCCCAAGTTCGTGATCAGCAGGACGGCAGAGGTGCACATCACTGTACTGTGAAAAATTGGACCATGGAATATATACACTGATAATGTTCATAATGTCCGTAATTAGTGTAATATAGACAAGCTAAACTATCAATCCATACAATGAAATGTACAGGAACCCCCTTTTCCCAAGGCTACACATTCAGAGTATAGCGGTGTGGGACACCAACATTTCCCCTGCATCATCTCGACGTGAGAAGCATTGCAATTAATTATGGTCAACTGTAATCTATCATCATTCATGTATAAAATATATCACAAAGTCTTCATGACCTTAAATATGAGAGTTGCACAATGATGAGGGGAATATGTAACGTACCACAAGCTGTGATCCTTGTTGAGGCATTGTACATTGCTGAGGTTACTTTGCTAATACTCATCAAGGCGTTGTGAGTGATGTAATCTATTCCATATTGTGTGCGGCTTTACCATAAACCACTTCAGAATGAGTGAATTGAGTCGGGGGTCACAATTGGTTTAATCTTTGCCGCCACAGAGGCAATAGCACTTGGGTCGCAGAGCTCAGTCTTTGACCCTCAGATGGATGGTGGGTGCCCAGTGATTCAGGCAAGAGTTTCCTGAGCACAATCTCAAAGATATGTAAGGCCTGCTCACATATCCCAAGATTAAAATATATATCAAAGAGAATCACAATTTTGCCTTCACATAAAGGGTGTATCATTCAGGGTGTAAATGCCACAGTACAAAAACACGACAAGTATGTTAGTTTTCTTGGCTTTATATAGTATGGGTACTGTGGCCAGCAGAAATAGAGATTAATGGATAATGAACATCCATGGTCCACATATCAGCATTATCTGTGAAATTTTCAGAGACCAAGGAAGTCAGCAATACTCTTTAGAGTAGTGCTGCCATGGTCTGGTTCGGAGGGTCCTAGATGAGAACCAAGAACCGGACCATGGGTTCAGTTCTACAAAATGTCTGAACCCAGGACCGGACCATAGAGAATGGTTCTCTATGGTCCGGTTCAGTTTTTTTGGGGTTCAAACCCGAACCAAACCAAAAAAAAAAACTGTAAGAGCACGCAAAAAAACATTGACAAAGTACTAAGTAGTCTACATGTTGAGTAACTAATCCAATAACATGGCTGCTCCCCCCAATTACCATGCGCGAGAGGTATCAGGAGAGCAATTGCGATAACAAGGGGTTGACACAACCAGAAATAGGAAAGTGGCAGTGAAGGATGGCAGCAAGCAGCAGCGGGAGATGGCAGTGAGCAGCAGCGTGAGATGGTGGCGAGAGTGGGTACAAAGAATAAATTTATTAGACACTGAAACAATAAAACACTATGACGCACCTTTGCAGCTGAGAGAACTCCCCATCTAGAGTCAGGTCTACATGTGCTGCATGTGCTCTCCTTTTCTCTCTCCTCTACTCATTCCCTTTCGGCGTCCTGGTGTCGTCCACGAGTGTTTGTGCCACATCAGCACTTGCTGGTGTGCATTGGGTGTTTGCGCATGGTGCTGGTGGCATTGGATGCGCTAAGCAGGAGGATGCTGAAGGTAGTGAGAGGGCGCTGAACTTGATGGTGTGCAAACAAGATGCGCCCACTTGAAAAGTTCATTGGCTTTCACAGCTAGACTTGTAAACTCTTTGTCGCAAAAATCTGGTAGCCCCTTCAGCTCCTCAGATACGAACATGTGGATGTCGCGCTCTGCCATTGCTGTGAGAATCTCGTCCATGGACAACCATAGAATATGCTGAGTGCTGTGAAATCCATCTTCGATGTCATGAAGCGGACGAGAGGTAATGAGAATCCGAAAGTTAGATGGAAGTTCTGTGATTTGGGGAAGTCCTCTGTCCTGAAGTCTACCGGAAAGTATGTGGAGGAGGCTGCACCACATCTCCTTTCCTGGTTAGGTCATTGTCTGGCACGGAGAAACTGGTGAATCACTCACCAAAATTGAAGAAGGTACATACTACACTATTGAAAGTAGTATAATGATCGGTTCGGGGTTTGGAACAGTTTGGGACCCATCTGAACCGAAGCCAAACCGTTTGTCCAATGTCAGAACCAAGAACCGTACTACGGTCCGGTTCTGGCTGACACCTGGACCGTGGACTGAACCACAGGGGAACCGGACCAAAAGTCCGGTTCGAACCATGGTTCAGGACCGGACCATGGCAGCACTACTTTAGAGTCGTCAACTTGTGCAACAACGAGAGCACTGTGCCTCACCTCTCTCAGCAAGGCACTAATTCCAGTAGACAGTGAAAATGTGCATTGTGGGTGATAAATGTACAGTCGACGCCTCACTAGGCATCAGCGACATAGTAGTCGAAGATTGGGGAAAACATACATTTTTTTCGGGGTGCACCAAGTCCATTCGACTGACAGTTGTTGGCCATTCTAGGGAAAGCTGTTAGTGTTGAGCAATGAACACAAAAGTAACCAACAAAAGCAACCCATCTCAAGACTATCCGAGTCAGTCAGAGGTCACACTCAGGTCTTAGGAAGAGCAAAATCAGCTGAACAAAGAATATATATTCCGAAATTAATCTGTCTAGGGTCTGATATAGTTGTGGAGTCTAGCTTTAAGGGGAACCTCCCTCATGCACAGCTCTCTGCGAAGTCATTCTAGATACGGAGAATCTCCCAAGTTGTGCTGGTGTAAGGGGTATAGTGCGAGTCTTTCCAAAAACCTTCCTATCAGGAATGAGATAAATTGGGACACAAAAACTGAGAATCTCACCTGTTCCACCATTTTAGCAACTCCTTGATATGAGCCTGAGCGTCAATGCCAGGTGCAACCTCGAAAAAATCAACAATGTTATAGAACACATAATAGTCAAAATCTCCATCAACACTCCACCAGGAGTTGACATTGGAGAGGGAAAAATGAAGCTGTAGGTAAAATTAGTCTTGAAGGTGAAAAAAACGTGAAGGGGCTCGCACAAACCTGGCAAGCAGTGTAGGCAATGGATCGTAGGGTGACCATCTTCATGCCAATAATGTTTGCCATATGACTACGAGTGGCCGCGTTGCTCTCGGAGGTCTGACGGCGTTGAGAGGCCATGATAGCATTGGCACCATTACCATCACCTTCAACTTCTTTGGCAGAAGATGGAGATGTGAATAGATGTTTGAAGGCCTTTATTTCAAATAAGCAGTGTTGGCCAATTGAAACAGCATGACTTACTTTGAGAAGAAGAGCTGAATGAAAAAGCCCCTTTTCAATGTTGCTGGAGTCAAATGTGTAGTCCGTGTATAAGAATGCCGGCCAAGAGTAAGCCATGACAAGGAAGTCAGGATCCCTGTCCCTGATCTTTTCTTTGGTCCTATCCTGGTGGTGAATACACCGATACTACAGCATGCAGATGATACTCACAAATTGAGAGACCAAGTATACTCTACAGGACACAGGAGCTTGCCAGTGATGTTATGGACGAAGCCGCAATCATCTTTAATAGTTGTGTGAAGAGGCGGGTCCATGGGATGAAAAAGTTTGGTAAGCCATGTAACAACCACATGTTTAAGATTGGCGGTATCATCCCCTCGGGCGCTGTCTGCACCTTTACGCAGCTGATAGCATAGGCTCAGCGATGCAAAAATAATTCTCAAAATAAGCACTCACATCCTTCAAAATAGAATCAAGTTCATCAACCTCCGACAAAAGTTTCTTCTTAAGCCAAGGAAGGCAATGAAGGAGTTCATCGAACGAGTTGATGATCCTGTCCTCACTGGTCCAAGCTAAGAAAACTACAACTCAAATGGGGAGAAGCACTTACTCTTGAGTAGGAACAAGTTGATCTGGCGAATCCAGCGAGTCTAGCAACTCCTCACATCAGTCGTTTTCAGCTATGAGGTCCTCAAGTCCATCAAACAAGGACACAAGTTGACGAATAACTCGTCCTTTATGTACATTAGAGTCGGTTTGCCTATGCACATTTAAAATGAAATACCAAGTCAAAAGAAGGCTAAAGACATACAGTTTGGCTCACTTGTTACTGGCCCTGAGAACCTCAACCTCCTGCTCCAAAGCTGCAATGTGTCATTTAGCACGAACAATGGCAGCATCGTCCTCATTGTCAGAGTAGGATTCTATAGCCATGGAAGCAAAGTCAGAAGTGGAGTGCAGAGGTTGGGAACCCTTGTCTTACACAAGAGAAGTATGGTCCCTTTTTATATGATGACTGGACTGAATATCTCCAAAATTTGGAACATGTGATATCTAGATGAACATGCAAAGGCAATGTGAACCCCGTATCGTCAACCAGCACAGCAATTAGGCTAGAATGAATGTGACTCACCACTAAGAGATTCATAATTGTGAAGAGAGAAGTGTGATTGTGAGGAAGGCTGGTCACGCATAGGCTTATGCAAGCAGCACCCTGTGCCACGCAATGTCCAGACCGAGGAGGGTGCGACCCTGGGCAGCTGCGGCAGGAACTAGCTTGGCAATGAAGAAAAAAAAACTGTGGCAGGAGTGATCAACGGAAAAAAGGGGTGGTGTCTGAACCTGCTGAAGGCCTGGTGTAGCACTCGGACTGGTGTTGGTCGCGTATCCTGCCAATCTCAGAGGTACCACACATTATACTCCTCGACACTCCTTTTTCTCTTCCAAGAGTTCCGTGCACTCGTCCAAGTTGTCCAAAGGTCGTCCACCCCTTTCTGAGGCCTGTATACACTTCCGATCCTCCGTACCATGTCCTGTCCATGTCCGTTCAACTTTGCTGGTGCATTTTCACTTTGATTATCTGTTATTGATTATGTCTTAGGGGCACATATGTCAAAAAGCCTGATTAATATGTATAGCTGCGCGCCTCGTGCACTGTTACATGCATATCTCTGTAGCGGCTCACCATGAGTCTTATTACATCTCGGATAGCTTATCTCGCTACTGGTCTCGCCTATGCAATTCCAGACTTTCATGCTGTAGGATATAATCTGGCTTGCTAACTACTCACAAGACACTTCACTTTCCTTGCTACGAGTCATAGTTAGTAGAGTCACTTTGGATAGTCATACTTTGCGCAATCAATCTTTTTGTTCATTCGGAACGATTGTTTGGCCTGACCGCTGCCATTTCATGTCTCACTGTCTCTTAGTTCTCCCGATAGGCTTTGCTAGTAGTACTTCAGTACTTCTGCTGGTCTTACACTTTGACACACTTTGACAAACCCACTGTATTTCTCTCTTGGAACCTTCGCTGTTTGCCAGATGTTCTCCGGACGCTTCGCACAACCTCGGACCTTCATTTCTCGACATCAGACCACCTTCAGACACTTCGGATGCACCTTTGGAAACACAGAATGAGTTTTAGGTATCATTCCTGTTCTCACCTTTGATCTTAACAAGACATCCCTTGCATTCTATATCAAGAGGTAGTTCTATAGGCAGTCTCTTTGGGACGAGCATCACACTCACACTTTGAGATTCTAAGGTAACACTATTTGTAGCGCCTACAAAGAATCAACTCTTTACAGCGCGCACTCCAGATTGCAGGCTCCTCTAACCCCATCCCCTCCATCAGTGATATAATGGAACTTAGGACGTGTTCGATGTCGCCCATCTTGATCTCGGGGTAGATGGTCTGTAGAGTTTTAGTATCTCCGGAAGTAAATAGAAAAATGTGGATGTACCCCTTCTGCGAATGTCTCTGCATTCTTGCTGTTGAAGTCCAAGTGGCTGTCTGCGCTGCGCTTATACACCATGTATCGGACCTCGCACACGTCAATCCAGACATGGGACTAGATGGTGACCGGCCCAAACCTCAACAACCTCTTGATACGACAAGGGATGAAGTCTTCATAGTCCATGGTGGGACTTGCGCGAAGGACTTGACTTGCAAGGCTATCATCTTTTGGCTGTTGCCACTTACTCCATTCTCGCAATGATATCATCAATGCGTAGCCAGTCTCTCCAAAACTATTGGTCATCATTCTCAGCTTGCAGATCATGCTATTGTCATCTGATGACAATCCACATTCCCCCACCCATTTGATGATGGGCCTTGGAATCTCTACTTTGGCCTTGTTGTCATTCTCCGGAGGATGGACTGTGACCGAGAGTTGCAAGTCAGGAAGGTTAGCGATGTCCTTGTTTTGCATGCGGTGATTAAGATGAAGGGTGACATTGATGAGTCATTTGTCGTAAGGGATAGTGTCAGTGTATTTGGTGATGGCCTTGAATAGATGTGTGGTTGGTTGTTTGTGGATAGGGAGTGGTGTCATGATTTGAAGCTCTTGCGTGTCCTGGAAGTAGTTGAATCTGTCAATGATATGATCAGTGTTAAGACTTGTGTGCGACTAAGTTACTAATGAGGTTCACTTTGCTCTGATGCCACAATCTGACTCTTCCGATATAAATGCTAAGGTTACAGCATACTCTGCAGGTGTAACATTGGTGATTACCTTAAATGGTGTTCAAAATTACTTGCTGATCAGTTGAAAGGGACCTACAAATGTGTTTGGTTGAGGATTTTGAAGAGCCTCGAGAATGACAGCACAGCACCCTAAAAGAGATGATCAGGAAGAAGTTTGGATGAATAAATAAGCGAGCTGAGAAATCCTAACCCAGGCTCAAATCATCTTGATTAACTTTGAGGTCGAATCTTGCTTTTAGCACTGCTGCAGGATCTTCAAGCACTTGCTGGTCTGGCACTTTGTCTTGTAGGAAAGCATTGGAGGACTTTGTTGATTTTACACATGGAGGGGAGGCAGTCAGAGTGTTCAAGTTGGAGGGTGGTGGCAGCCAAGCTTTGGATTTGTTCCTTGGGAGCTCAGAGTACATTTGTGGGAGTTTTGTGAAAGAACCAGTGAGAGACAACAAGGGTACTGGTAGTATGGTGATAACTGTCAAGCCAGCCTAGGTAAGTTGTGCCAGTCAGCCTTGGTACCAATTGTTGCAGTTTAGTCAGCTAATACCACATGTCACTACGCATCATAATGGGTAGCGCTGGATAGATTGTTATAGAGTGAACAGTAATGTATACTAGTAGCTCTTTAGGAGCAGACATCCAAGTCTAAGCTTTCTTATAATAGATACTGCAACCAGCAAGAATCATCCTCACACAGGCATACTCCCAGATCTGGTGTACCAGTCATACAACATTTAGTAGGAAGAACGAGCGTGCGCCTGGCCACTTCCTCTGATCCACATCACAGATGATTTCTATATATGAGCTTGTTCGACAACTCCATAATGTCCTCATTCATGCGATATTTATATGTGAGATTGACCACCATGTGTGGGTGTGCTTCAGAGAGATGATGGAACAGAGATGTTTCTAGACCACCTTTTGGGCTGTGCAGCAGGATTCAATTGACAAGCATGAGCAGGAAAAAAATGTGTGGATGATTTGTTCAAAACGGACAAGCATCCTATCAGCAATTTTGGTACATCCTGTTCTCACTAGTACGCGCTGACTAAACTGTAGAATGAAAGATGGTAATCATGTGTGTGCTATGAGGTGAGGATCTACATGGCAACTGTGGTGGAATTTCAATTAGACCTCGATGAACACAGTACAGCATTTGGACTTACATTGCAAGGTTTATCACACAGCGGAGAAGCTCTCTTGGATATATACCGAATGGATGACAGGCGAACATGCCTGGGAGATGCAGGTATGTGATTCAGTCTCTCCTGAAGTCATTGCTTCATGCGTTCTTGTAGTCTGCACTTCCCCATGGCGCAACTCTCCTTGGTACCATTCTATCCTCGGACAAGACATGCATTACTGCATTGTCAGGCGACCGCATTGCACATCCTCTCCTTATCAGCCTCACCAACATTCATATGGACATACACCTAAAATCATCTTCAAACACCTTCCTTCTTGCCGCCTTACTTCCAGTCCCAAAATTGAGCCCCTTCAGTGACAAATTCCGTATTATACGGGCCACCCGACCTACATAATATCCCGTATGAGACGGGCCAGCGGATTATGGGCCCATGTTGTGTATATTCTCGATGATGACGGATGGGCCGGGACACATATTATTTCCGATGGAGACGGGTGGGCCCATGTATGCCAATGATATATATATCCTTGATGTTGACGGATGGGCCGGGGGAATATGATCATTCATGGAGATGGGTGGGCCCATCAGGGTAATATGTAGAGTAGGATATTATAGACAGCTGGGCTGAAGAGAGATGTAAGGCAAATATTGTTATATAGACGGGTGGGCCGACAGGGGTGTATTACATATATGGGTGGGCCGAGGTAGGGGAATATTACATAGATGGGTGGGCTGACGCGGGGTGTATTACATATACAGGTGGGCCGACATAAAAAGTATTACATATATGGGTGGGCCGAGGGTGTGATAAAATATTTATTACATAGACAGGTGGGCCGAGGTGGGGTATAATTATATAGACGGGTGGGCCAACATAGGATGTATTACATAGATGGGTGGGCCGATGTGGGGGATAATACATAGATGGGTGGGCTGACGTGGGGGAATTGTACATAGATGGGTACATATATGGGTGAGCCTGGATACGTATAAATGTCAACTTTTCAGTGCAAAACCCCAAACCGAGATTTACCAACCCCCGAAACCCGAAATTGTGGACTGCCGGGTGTCGGGTTTCGGGGTTCGGGGGTCCCGGAACTCGGAACTCGGTATGTGAGACAAAAATATATTTCATACACGGGTAAGTCAATGTGTCCGTCAATCAACTCGATTGTAAAGTATATTTTATTGATCTCCCCAAATTTCCCAAGTTCCGAGTTCCGAGTTCCGGGACCCCCGAACCCCGAAACCCGGCAGTCCACAATTTCAAGGTTCGGGAGTTGGTAAAATGTGTATGGACAGATGAAAGGTTGATTTAAACATTTTTGAAAGATGTCCCATATGAAATGTTAAGTCCCGAATTTTGAACTCCGGGTTTCGGGACTCCGGGTGTCGGGACTTCGGGCTTCGGGACTCAGGACTCCAGAAAGCCGGAAATCAAAACTTGGGACTTGACATTTCATATGGGACATCTTTCAAAAATGTTTAAATCAACCTTTCATCTATCCATACAAATTTTACCAACTCCCGAACCTCGAAATTGTGGACTGCCGGGTTTCGGGTTTCGGGGTTCGGGGGTCCCGGAACTCGGAACTCGGAACTTGGGAAATTTGGGGAGATCAATAAAATATAATTTACAATCGAGTTGATTGACGGACACATTGACTTACCCGTGTTTGAAATATATTTTGCTTGTCTCACATACCGAGTTCCTAGTTCCGGGACCCAACTCCCGAACCCCGAAATTGTGGACTGCCGGGTTTCGGGGTTCGGGGGTCCCGGAACTCGGAACTCGGTATGAGACAACAAAAATATATTTCGGGGGTTGGAGGTTAGTAAAATGTTTATAGATATACGGAGGTTGATAGAAACATGTTTGAAAAATGTCGTTCGTCTCAAATGTCAAATCCTGAGTTCCGGGCTTTGGGACTCGGCACCCGGCACCCGGCACTCGGTGTTCGGCACTGAAAATTTGACATTCGGGTGTTAGGGTGTAGGGTGATATCTACCTCAATCTACAGTTTCGAGTTCTGGATATCGGGACTGATTATTGAATCATTCAATTGTGGCATAGGTAACATGCATTGAAAAAGATTTATGTACATCTATCACTGAGCAATTATGTAGCCATTGCAACCTCCTCACCAGGAAGATCAACCTTCCCCTCAACATCCATATCCTCATCAGAGGAATCATATTCTGGCAAGAGGTTACCTTGTTCATTAGGGACCACAATATCGCCGGAGGATTCTGGCAAGAGGTTGCCTGGTTCATCCGGGAGCACAATTTCGCCGGAGGATTGTGGACCCTCAGGCTGAACTTGGGTGGGCTCAACATTGAGACCTACCATAGCAGATCCATCCTCAACCATCAAGGGTGTGGGTTCCATGACTGACATGTCCAAATCAATGAGGTTGGAAAGTGTGGAGGGGAGGGGTGAAATGGACGGGGGGGGACCAGATTGATCAAGCAAGATTGTTGCATCGGCCGGTGTGTCCGGAAGTGAAAATGAAGGGTGCGGGTCGACCATCGTGCGCCGGAGGCTCTCATGGAGGCGTTGGAGGGTATCAATCTTAGCATCCTGCTCCTGCACCCGAGCCTCAAGAATAGCGATGCGAGCTGCACCATCCCGAATCGCGATTGCCATGGAATGGAGATCCGGCATGGGAACATCTAGTGCTGCACGAGGCACTGCGGAACTCGAAGACCGAACAGCTAAGTAAAAAATAAGGTCAGCCGGTCATCAAAAGTGTGGGTGACTTACGAGTTGGCGCAGGTGCAGGTGCAGGTGCAGGGGCAGGTGCAGGTGCAGGTGCAGGTGCAGGTGCAGGTGCAGGTGCAGGTGAGGGTGCAGGTGTCTTCTTGGTAGTGATGGTCTTGCTGCGACCACGTGACTGCACCTGGGGTGTACTTGCAGCAGGGATGGCCGGAGTTCGGGACGGGCCACGAGATTGACTACGAGTCCGGGCCCTTGACCTGGAGGGAGACGGAGCAGTGGATGGAGCAGGGGCAGGTGTCTTGGAACGCGTCCGTCCCGT